TTTTTTTTTTTTACATATTTTACCAGCTGATTTTATTCTGTCTTTAAAGGTGTGTAGACTTAAGGGTGTGTAAACTTTTCAACTCCTACTTGCTTATATTTAGTATATGACCGAATATCCGCCCTGATCACTATATATAGTGCAATATATAGTGCACTATATATAGTGATTACACCATTGTAGATGAGTGTCTAAATGTCCAGTGGACTCGGAAATTTCCCAGAATGCCGCTGGAAAAGTAGTGATCATCCATGGTCACTAGACGAGCAGATATGTCCCAAAATGCTTTGCAAGGAGAGCTTTCCTTGCAAAGGATTCTGGGATTTGTTGAAACAGCCCGCTGTCGCTACCCAACAGTGGTGACAAATAGCAAAGAGGGCGTAGCCGCCGTGTGGGGAGGCGGAGTCTCGTGATCAATGGGAACTCAGTTAACTGAGTTCAGTATAAAGTCCCTGCTCTATATGTTGACGGATCTAGAGCCTTAGTCTTAAACGCTTTCCAGTTTAATTCCAGAATTATTATTTTTTTATAAAAGCAAACGTTCAGATAGGTTTATTTCAAGATGATGCAATGTCATCACTCTACTGAAGGGAAAGTGATCCTTTATCACCTATTTTTAAAGTGGATGTTTTGCTGTTATGCGATCCAAGAGCTGTACTAATTAAAGCTGTTTTTCATCAGAGGACAGTGCACACTTATCCTGTTTCAAGACATTGAAATAAAAGTAACCAAGGTTTCTGCTCACAGAAGTTTTAACCCATTTTAGAGTTTGGCTTGCCATGACTGGTGACCTGTTGGAATCTCAAACATCTGGGCCATATTCAAAAAGGTTCTCCTTGATTTAGTGAGCAAAAGTCACTTAATGAAGTCCTTTTTACTGTGAAATGAAAGAAAATGTTGAACGTCTGAGTGTGCATTCACACAGACAATCAGAGATCCTATCTAGGTTCATGCCAAGCATTATTAGCCAAGGAGGGATTCAGACATCTGCTGAGACTAGGGCTGCAGCTATCTATTACTTTAGTAAGTGATTAACCTATTAATAATTCTTTAGGCTAATCTCAAAAGATTCTTTTATTTAATTAACATTTCTAAATAAACAAACATTTAGACAATTGAATTGAGCATTGTAGAAGAACTGCACATGAAAACATGTCCAAATACTAAACATATACATATGTATGTATATGTTTATATTTTATATTTGTAGAGTTTTGTCTTAATTACTGCTAAGCAATGTAATCTTTAAGCAAATGACATGTTTTAGAGTTTGACCCATCACTTTAGGTATTGATGTGATGTGATTACCACATTAGTTGACAATTTTTTTCAATAATCGCTGAAAAGCAACTCTGAGCGTTAGCTTTAACTCATCCGGCCAGTAAAATGAATCCTGCCCAATGAAGATGATAAAGTTAAGTAATTAATAATTATTTGATTATTAAATAAGTTTTTCCAATTTATTTTACTTTTAAATAATTTATTTCCAGCATCTTTTTTGCCTCAGACACTCTTAGGTTCGCTTAAAGTCCTCATCACTATTTCTAATGTTTGCTCACTTTAGGAGCTCCTTTAAGGTGCTTTGGCAATAAGATTTTCTTACCAAGGTAAAATTCTAAAAAAAAAAACCTTACAAAATTCTAATAAAAAACAAGTTTTCTCTTCTGTCTACCGAAATACTCCTTCAGTAGCTAGAAAACCTTCAGTACTCTACAGAAATAATGATCAGTAAGGACGCTATTTTTTATCCCTTGGTGTTTTCTATCATCTGTCACCAAATTTGATGGATTTTGAATTGTTTGCAGTTTTTCTGTAAATCTGAATGAAAAGACTTGGATTCTCTAAGTTCACAGACAGACTGCTGTTCGAGGTTCAGTAACTGGTAAATGCACTCATGTAACGTCCTCTTTAATACGTATTCTGATGTTGCCTCTACTGCTAATATAAAGCATTCATGTTCAAAACGGAATCAGCTACAGTTGATACCGGCATTTAAAAAAAACAGCTATTAAAATGTAGCCACAGATTTCAGGTTGATGCATCTCTTTTATGTTTCATCCAACTTTCATTCCCCTCCTTCATCTGTAGTTCTGTAATGATTGTTTATTAGCAGGCCCCAGTGGTGGTCCCTTATTTGCTGCTGGTCTGAGGAATGCAGCGCCTAAGTGGATGACCTGCAGGACTGTAATTCATAGCAATTTTGAGAATGACAGTGTAGTTTTTTTTTCCCCAGGGGAAACTGATATTAGTGTTCAGTGATGTTGTGAAAGGCGTAAGTGCAAAGCCCTCATTTTGGCAGAAATATCACTATAATTTTAAGAGTAATGTGGTTGGGAATGATTGCAGTAACAAATATGTCTTGTTTGGATCCCCAGTCAGACATTTTATAGAAATAGTTGTTATGATTGATTTTTAAGTTGGCAGTCGACAATCAGGTTGATATTTTTCTTTTTGTGTTCTGTTGCGATGGGCCATGACTGCAAGACAAGGAGATCCAGTTAGACGGATGCATAGGAATTATCAGCATCTGAAAAAATGTCTCCAAATCCAACTGTGTGTTTTTAGAACAGACTTCTTCTATTGTAAGCATTTTTGTCAAAGTTGCTGCTGTCTCTGATGCAACAAGTGGCAGGTTATATTAATGAGCTTGGCCCCTTCAAGATTTTCTTTTTTTAATCACATCAAAAGAAAAAAGGTGGAGGCCAATTTGAGGCTCTGTAGCACATCACCAGAAAGGTGAATATAATAGTCTTGGCCTTTCATTCACGGAGCAGCAATAACCTTTACGGCCAAAGTAATGAACTGGTTGAGTCTATCTTTTTTAATGCGTCTTTGTATTCAGCTGGGCCTTTGCTTTAATCAAAGCCTATTTACTCCGAGTCACTCATCCTCTTATCTCCCTGCACAACCCTCTTTTTTTTCATTTTTCTTTCCTCCTCCCTTTTTTTTTTCTTTTCATATCCTCTCCTGGCTTCTTTTGTGTGGCAGCAACCTTGTCAAAAAATACGTCCGCGGCACCACAGGCGCCCTCGACTTCGACAGCGTTGTGAAACCGGTTGCCATGGAAACACAGAACCGGAGGAATGTGGAAAATCTTCTACGTTTCTTTATTTTCCTCATCCTTTCCTCTGCCTCTTCTCAGTCTGAGAACGTTGTCGTTGTTGAAGCTGCCCCCCTCTAGGATGCAGCAGCAGCACGTTCATCAAAGGCGCCCGATAACCCAGTTTTTGGTCAGTTGCCCAAACCCGCCCAGGAAAAACTGCAAGGTGCCAAGAACAGGCTCCAGGAATTAGTTTCATCGTTTTTCTCCTTCCTTTCCCATCTCCTTCTTCCTCTCACAGCAGACGTTGAAGGAAGAGTTGCGTACTTATGCTCTTGCTCTTTTCATGCTCAGGTGTAAGCATTGCTCCAGACTCCAGACAGTATTCATACTCCTTGTTAATCCAAACACAAATATTCATATGGCTTTTGAGGTAATGAAATACAATTTAATAGCGGATCACAAGGTTTTTCTTAAAATCTCAATAGTTTGGCATGCATTTGTATTTAGCCTCCTGATTCAACACATATTAGGACTACATTTCCCTGCAGTCTCATCAGCACGTTTCAGACTCTTACTCTATAATCTTTGCATAACTACAGACTGAAAAATGTTGCTTGTTCTTCCTTAGAACACAGATAAAGTGCATTCAGATCAGATGGCGAGTGCCATGATGAGCAACTTTCAGGTTTTTCCACTGAGCTGTAAACCGGTTTGTACTAGTTTTCAGGGGTTTTTTTTATGGCCTTTAAAAAAACATGCATCATTTTTGCTTCATTGTCATTATTCTGATCTAATTTCTTATTTGTGCTCATGTGCTAAAATGTGAAAAGGATGCCTAGATTGCTTTATCAGTATGCTTTTAGATTTGCAGAATTTCATGCATTTCACACTTCAAATACCTCAGTCAGAACTTTACCTAATGATGGCCAAACCAGATGCTGAATATATGGTGCATGAAGTTCCCCCGCTGGTTGTAGCTGACTTTGTGTCAGTGAGGCTGTTGCATCACTCCAGTGGACGACCAGTCAGATCAGCTGCTTCTGATCTGTTAGCCAGAGAAACAACGGGAGGGGAGGGAGAGGAAGGGAGATAACTTTGAACTTTGCTGTGTTGGTGTTTTAGCTGATGAAACAATAGATTCAATGAAAAATATTTGCCTTGTTCATGGTCAACGTTTTATTTTTTCTGTACCAATCTGCTTCTTTTTACCATGTGTTATATTAATATACAAGTAGAATGCAAAATATGAAGTTTTCCTTTACATTTTGAGTCCTTTAAATAACATTAAGTCAGATGTTCATATCTCTACATTGTTCTCTTTCTTCTTGTGCAGGCGGACCAGCAAGGAGATTGTGTGTGTAACACCGGCTGGACAGGCAACAGGCCCCACTCCAGTTATGGTTGACATCAACGCTGCAGAGCTGAGAAACCCTGAGGTCAAGTTCAACTACACGGACGATCCCACCATTCTCAAGATCGAACCCGACTGGAGTATCGCCAGGTATGGCGGCTATCGCAGCCTTTCTGCAGGTCGTCTTCTTGTGACGTTGAACCAAACAGACAATTAGGGTTTGATTGTCATTTGCTAAAACTCCCATCTTAAATGTGCCAGTATAAATATTTTCTATGTGGCTCAGTCTTTCCCTGCTGGTGAATATATTAGCAAAGTATCTGAGATTTCATTATCTATAATTTACATCTCTACAGTGTTTGATCTTCAATTCGGCTTGATGTGCTGTAGATTTGCAGAACGCACGCACACAAAGGCATCCATACATTATTAATCCTTTGAGGTGGTTAGACCTTCTGCTCAGACCCTTTTTGAAAAAGAGGATAGCCATCATAACTCAAACACAAACTCTCTTTGCAGAGCCATAAATGTTTTATTTAGCCTTTACTCCCTGTCTGGCTCTCAAAGAAAACAATGTTTCCCTCCCTGACTCCCTCATTTTGCTTTCTTAAAGCTTGATATTTCGTCTATTTATGTTTCAAAAGTTGACCTTTGACATCAGAGCAGCAGTAAAAGAGGCTCCTAAAAGCAGTGCACTGCTGACTGATGAGCAGCAGCAGATGTGTATCTGTAAATATTACTTGACTTATTGAAATGAGTTTATGTAGCCAGAGGAAGGTGTCCTCTGCGAACACCAGCTGCCATAGAGTCTGTGTGCCAATGGGCTTTGGAGCACGACTTAGAAACTGTTGTGCTGTTTGGCTCTTAAGGGACACCAGCTCTTGTGCACCAACATAAACACACATTCAACTTCCTATTTACTTTGAAGGTAGTATGAGCCTAACCTGGCAGTAGCCAGATTAATCAGTGTAGAACGGTGTTAAGTTCTATGTTATCAATCTGGGATAGCTGCCGTTCAGTCTGTCCGTGAAAAGGAGGGACGTTTAGGACAATACTTCAAGCTGATTAGGTGACATGCCAGCTGGTACCCGTCTTCCATTATAAGCTTTCAGCCAATCACAGCATCGAATCAAGACATTCCCCATTTACTAATGCACAAAGTTCTTCTCTTTGCGCCTTTTTTAAACGAGATTTTGTCGCAATTTTAGCTAAAACCGAGTCAATTGCAGTATCAACAGGGCTCCAGCACAGCCATGTTTGTAATGCCCTCGCAAGGCCCTTCTTACTGTCGTCATTCCTACATGTCCCGCCCAAAAAACACGGCTGACATGTCATTGGTCCGACTCGCTGGTTGTTACGAGACGGACGCATTAGTGGGATTCTTTCAAGATGGATTTGTCGTGAAACTAAAAACTCAAATTTCGTGACAATCCTGCTTCTAACGCAAGGTTATTATGTACCTCCAAATAGTTAACATTTTCTGGTATTACTTCCTAAACCCAAATAGCGAGCACAGGATTAATCTGCAAAACTATGTATTTGGAAGCACTTGGCCAAATATGCAGAAAAGGTGAACAAATAGGAGTAAACTGGGATCCAAAGAATCTCTGGAAATCAAATCAGTTTAAATATGTTGACATTAAACTGTAAGTAAAGCTTTTTGATCTACCGTTGATAAAGCAGAGGTATGTTGCCTTGAAAAATCTCTTAATCTAGAATTTTGCCCATTTTATTAAGATAAATCCAAAAACATCTCAATTTATTTTCTCCTTAGGATTTTATGTTAAATACAAACGCAACATAAAGGTCTAAAATAATCTTCCCATCAGATCTGCCTAGCTTTACTATCTGTGCTGAAGAAAAGCATCCCCACAGCATGATGCTGCCACCACCATGTTAGATAGTAACACAAGATGCTGTGTTATTGTGATGTTCATTAGCACTTTACAGTAACTTTAAAAAAAAATGCACATAGGATAACAAAACAAAAAATTTTGTTCCATAACATCTCATTTCATGTATTTGCTTTTATTTATTTATTTTCTTTTAAATGGATTTTAGAGATTAGATGATAGCTGGTAGTTTGTAAAAATCTAACCAGTTACTAAAAGCTTTTGGTTTATTCTCTGATTCTTCCTTTTATTAGTAGGTTAGCAGTTCTACAGCTTATCTGTCTGTTGCGCTCCTTTATCTCTACGATGCTGTTTTTTTATTTTCTTTTTACATTCGTTCACTAACCTGCCACACTTTTGAGATTTAACTAAATTCAATAAAAAGTAAAAAGCTGAATCTATGCAGCAGTTTTCTATTCATATCAAAAGCACCAGAGCCACATTCGGGTCACACTCACTAATGTGCTCACATTCATAAACATAAATAAATATAAACATATGCAGATCAGTAGACAACTTACTCAAGGACACATCAACATGTGACGGAACCAACCCGCAATTGAACACGCAACTTCAGATTACAAGAATATTATTCTGTGCTATGGTCACCCAATGAGTTTAAAACATTTTCAAGGTATTATCATTTAGTTTAACTCTGACTCTGGTTGCAAGCCTTGTTTTTCCTTCAAATGTTGTGTTAAGGATATAACAGTCATCCTCCTCCTCGTCGTCACAGAGGGAACCAACTCTCACATGCAGAGAAACGGGTGTGAAAGGACAAAGAATCGTATAAGGAGGAAATTGAGGGTTGAGAGTAAGAAGGATGAATAAAACAAGGTTCCAACTTTGATGGAAATGAGATCAGCTCTTTGAGTTTGTTTGTTTTTTTTTTAGATGTACCCAGGAGAGGAGCAGCATTGTTCTATTGACCAGTCAGGCCTTTTTTTTCTTTAGTATGTTGTTATATTCAGATTCTGCTTTGGCTGCAGGGTTTCTGGAGCTTTCAGAGACTGCTGGCTTTACGCTGAAGGAGGAATACAGGCTCAGTAGTCCTTACACATTATCACAACATTCACTGAGAGTTGTATGTTTAAAGTAGTTCCTACAGGGATCCGTGACAGTCTGGATATGATCAAGCTGCTTTTTCCAGATCCTTCTTTTTTCTGTGTTGCACATTTTACACCTGAGAAAAAGAAGAATAAACTTCAGTTGATTCTGAGGAAACCTTTTAATGTAGACAAAAAATACGGCAGAGGAATCTGGAAATTTCAGGCCTAAAAAATATATTGAAGTTTGTTTTGTACATCTATGATTTCAGTTTTTTTCCCAGTAAACTTATAACACCATGCAAAGCGATCTCTCTCAGCCCCTCTGCGTTTTCTTAGCTTGGGTGTTGTCTCAGTCCATTTTAGGGCCAATTGTACCTAAAGTTCAACTAAAATCAGCCCCAGAGACAGTCTTTTATGCTAAGCTCTTTGGTTTAACGGTTTATGTTTAGCTGCTGTGGAAAAAGCGACACTAAAACACTAAAATGGTCCAAATCTTTCTATTATACCAGATAAGCCTGGATAGAGATTTTCTCTGCCCTGTTGCAAAACAGTTTGAGCCAAAGCATTTTCAGCCAGAGTATCATTTCTTTTGCCAGCGGTGACCAACATTAGCTCTGGGTTTAGATAAGTTGTGAACTAACTTAAACAGAATCTGTCAGAAAGCCTCAAATCAGATAAAGTTCAGCCTCACAGGCCGATAGAGGCTGTCACCGAGGCCGCGTGGTGATACGGGCTCCTCGCCCACATTATCCGTGTCCCTGCTGGTTGACATCACATCTTCCTGTAAAGGTCAAAATTGTGTTACTTAACTCCTCTGCTATATGCATTTCCTATTAAAAAAGGCAAAAATGCAGCTTTATTACACCTCTTGTATGTCTTCTTTCTGCTACAATGCAGCGAGTGGAGGCCAAAGGCTTCTGCAGTCTGAAATAACTACATAATCATCTTCTTCACCCCTGCCTACATTTGGGTTTAAACAAGCTTTTAACATTCAGATGACGGTTGTAGCATCACGCTCATTACAGGAAAAAGGGTTTCCATGAATAAGCAGGTGAAAGGCTACACATTAATGGTGAATCGCCATCTGAAGGGTCCTGCTGAATCCCACAGAGAACAGATTTAGTCGCATTTATCTCTGCATAAAAGCAGCAGGAAAACACTGTAGGAAGCAAGAGAGCCTCGAAAAATCTTGCTTTTCTTTTGGTATTGCATATTTGTTGTTTTTCTAATAAGAGGGTTTCTTTTGTCTTTCTTTTTAGCGGAGGCCTGTTGCTGACCATAACTGGAACCAATCTGGCCACCATCAAAGAGCCCAAAATGAGAGCCAAATACGGAGCGGCACAGTCACAAAATGTAAGTTTGAAAACTGCTGCACCTGTTTTTATTCACCAAGGAAAAGCCATCGATTACTGTGATTAATGAGAGGAATATGTAAATATTTCCCACAGCAGACATTTCTAATGGCACAATAACAGCTGAGATATTTAGTCTGAACTGTTCAATATGTTTTAATAAACAGTTCGGTTTGATTTGATGCTCATTCTCAAGGTTAATCTTATTTTAGCCAAACTGGTTCTCCTTTTACCTGCTTATCCATTTCTGATGAAGATTCAACAAGCTTTCATACTAAGATAAAAGTTGCTGCACATGGTTGATGTCAGTCTCACAAAGCTGCTTCACTGATTTGAGATCTGCCCAATAGAAGCCACTGGGATCTACTGAGGCGGTTTGAGCTTTGTGACATGGTGCATTATCCTGCTGAAAACTGGTTATAATGGGTGGACATAGAAAAACGACTTGTTCTTTCATGATTATGCAATGTTTAAGAGTGTCCCCTCCCAAAACATAACCTCCAAGAAATGATGGTGTCATGCTTTTATATCATCTGAGCCAAATTCTGACGGTTTGAACATGGCTGCTGAAATTAAGTCTCCTTAGAGCAGACATATACTTTCTACTCTTTTATCTGCCATTTTTGGTGAAGCTAAGTTTCCTGACGTGAGTCGACACAAGCCTTTAAAAGCAACGAGTTTCACTTCTTCCATCCTGAACCTGGATGCCCCATGTTCTCGCATCCAACATCCATATTTTCTAAATAAAGACTAAATAAAGACTAAAGATACTTTTCTACAGCCTTTGCTAACATATGGACACATATTTAAACATTCATGCTGTCTAAATTAAAGGTGTAGTGGACAAAATTCTTTCAGGTTTGAGTTCTGGGGCGAACATTTTATTCATTGTCATTACGTACCTACTTTTATCAATAATCGTTCTGCATAAAATTAATATTTACATGTACTAATATCTACACTAAACAGATTACTTATTATTAAAGTGGTTATCTCTGAGGACTTGTATATGACTTGCAGAGAAATAATTTTCTCTTTACCCTACAAGACAAAACCTAGTTCTGAAAAGAGCATGAATATAATGATAATGATAAATACAGGATATTTATCATCTTAATTGATGAGAAAAATTAACCACAAGGTTTTTGTTGTGAAGTGACTGTTAACATTTGAAAAATTTAAATGTTAAATAAGTTAGAAGGTTTCACTTGAGATTATTACTGCTGCCACCATCTGTATTAGAGGGAAACAATGGTAGGGGTGGCCAATTATTGGTCTTGTCCACCTCTGGCCCCTCATGTAGCTCCGCCCCTGCTTAAACAGCCTTTCTTTGTTCTGTCCAAACTCCAAAAACACATCTTCTCCATGTCTACTTGCTTAAATCCATTGATTTGCTGCCATTTGATTGAGACTAAACAAAAAAATAAGATGGCAGCATGTTCCTGTTTATAATGTATTGTGACAGGAGTCAAATTCTAAGAGCTACATATTACAGTTGAGCATTTAAGTTTATTTTATCCTTCATTAATATTACATTTCCCACCCGCTGAGGTATTTTCCATTATAACACAAACTGTTATATTTGGTTTGGTTTATTGTATCAGGTACAGTAAGGCGCACCCCATACCAAAGAGGAATATTTTACCAACTACCTGATCAGGCGCCACCTAGAGGAGGATTATTTACATGCATCCCTAGAAACGTGATTCCTTCTTCATCAAATCTGCTAGATTAAACTCACTCACTATCCACATGCGTACTTGTAGTCCCGACCTGTCGGCCAAGCTGCCGAGGGACCATTTTCTGTTTGTTTTTGATGTTGAATTTCCTTTTAGCAGTTTAACCTTTGAAATGTCAACTAGCAATAAAGCTGCTCCTGCAAATCCCCCCTCTCCTCACCCTTCACCACGGGGCTCAGCTAACCTTTTTCCATTTCCCACTCTGAGCCAAAAGTAGAAAAAAAAATATCCCACATTCTCCCTTTGTTCCCATACATAACTGCAGAGAGGTGTATTTATTGACCTATAAACACCGTTCAATCTTTTGTGTTTGTACACAAACAGATGATGTTTCAGTTTGTGACAGATGTAATACAATCTTTAGTTTAAGTATTTACACCCCTCGAGCTTTAAATGACCAACTTCAATAGGTTTAAAACTGAAAAGTGGGACATACATTAACATTTTTTGACCTCTTTTAGCCTGATACCCCTGAATAAAACCAGTCTGTCTATAGAAATTCCCAAATAGCAAATAGCTCAGTTTATCTTACTCTAAGCTGAGCTGTCAAAGGTGTTTGAATACTTTTCAAGGAGCTTTATAAATCCAGACATGGAACTGTCCAAAGGTCACTTCTGCCATCCCGTGTTGTCATTAGGAGCTACAAGCTGACCACTTCAGTTCCTCTCTGTTATTATGGGCTAATTTGTTCTAAGTGTTTAAACCCTCTGGGTATTTCCAGATGATATCAACACTGATTACAGCACTGATGTTATTAGGCCGCCTTTTCCTCATTATGTCGTTACAGACACATTTAATCAGTCGCATCACATAACCCTGTTTTAGCCCCTATAGCAGAGCTCATTGTTGAGCTAACCTTTTATTTCCTCCTACTGTGAAGCTCTAATAGATTCAAAGGGCATGGTTCCTAGTGTATAAAATAAAGAAACAAAATATGCAAAGTCTAGATAGGAAAAAAAAAGAGGGTCATATTTAGAGAAAAGTTTAAGATCAGAAAAAGCGTGTTAATATGTATGTATATGTAGAGGATGCTGTGTCTGGACTTGCAACATTTCAACTGTAGTCTAAGCTAAATCTACTTATTTTGGTTTAAATGTTTCTGACAAAAACTGCAAATTAATTCACAACAATTGAAAAATATAAAAGGGGCATTTCTCAGCCTTTTTAGCATCTAGACCCTCTTAGGGTAAGGCTTTAACCAGCATGCTCCTGGACTGCAGTTCATAAAGCCAACCTGAAGAACGTACCGAAATGATTGGAACGGTTTTAAATCTCTTCCTTCCTGATGATAATGTTCGATATCTTGAAATGCATTTATGGTGGGCGTAAAGACGTGACCTGCTTATGTGACACAGATCAGTTTACCATTTAGCAAAAAAATAAGCATATATCTCCATTTCCTTCCTTATATCTGTCTTACACCACTGCAATGATAAGCCAAGCCTTTCAGTTTTCATTGATTGTGAAGATAGTTGGTATTACATTCACTCCTTTAACATTATTATTATTATTATTTTTTTCCGGCTTACTTATAACTTAAAATTTAGCTGTAATTCCATTTATCCCCTTTAATTCCATCACAAGAGGGAATTTAAATTCATAGTTCTATCATTTCTGAAGTTATGTTTCTACATTAAACTGATGGATTAAGACAACGGAGTCAATGCTTTACTTATTATTAACTTAAGTGATTATCTTAACTATAAAATATGAGTCAGGTATAATAAATGTAATTTGTGATTAAGATAAGTGAGAAAGGTTCCACTGTGAAAGGATTCATTTCTGGTAACAGTAAAAACTCCAAAGGAATGAAAAGATAGAGCAAAACGATCAGCGGATGTTTAATATACACTTTTGTTAATTGTGTCCTTAGAACTGCACGGTTCTCAACAACACCGTCATGATTTGCCTGGCGCCCTCTGTGGCCAAATCGGACCGAGGCTTCTCTGAGATGGGAACCAGTCCTGACGAGATCGGGTTCGTCATGGACGGCGTGCGCTCCGTACTGGTGATCAACGAGACCTTCAGCTACCACCCGGATCCGGTCTTTGAGTCTCTGAGTCTCAGCGGCATATTGGAGCTGAAGCCCAGCTCACCACTCATACTCAAGGTAAGTTTTTCTCCGCTTATGGTACTTATCTTTTCTGGCCTTCTCTTTTCATCCTCCTGCTAAATGCTCCTTTATCCTCCCCCTCATTTCTCCTCCCTAGTTAACATGTCCGTGTATCTGTCCCTCCTTCATCCCCTTATGCTTCATCTTTCCTGTTTCCTTTCTGCTTTCTCTCTGTTTACCTGGCATGTGTGAGAGGAATATGAATGTTTGGGTTGAGTTTATTGTGCTTTAACTTGAAAGCTGTTTTACAGTGAAGGTTACACTCTGAAGCTGAGGCAGAAATGTCTGCAAACACCAGGAATTCAGGACAGAGGAAGGTTAACCGCCTCACAGGAAGAACTGTGTTAGCAGATAGCAGGATCCCTCTTAGGTGGATGACTGTCAACAGCTTTTAAGTTTTAATCTTGCTTATAGTATTTTTTTTTTCTTTGTTAGATGTAGCAGAAAGCTCCTTAATTTAGTTGATGAGTTGCTAACAATTCATCTGCTTTTCCTGCATTCTTCTTTTCCTTGTGGTTTGACATTAAGAAATTTTTTTCTTTTCCTCCACCTGCTTTTCTTCAGTGGGTGTCGAAGACCTTTAATGGAAAAAAAAAATGTTTTTACCGTCCCTTTCAAATCAGCTCCAAAGCAAGTCGTGTTTTTAAAGTGGGTCCATGTGTTGCTAAGGAACCTGCTCAGATTTGAATCTTAAAACGGCTTCACAGACCTGTTTACTATGAACAACAGAGGCAGCGCAGGTTTGTATAGGATGAGCATTTGCCCCCACCCACCCCGTCTAATGACATCCCCCTCCTCACCCTTTGAACTTCAAAGCCTTTCAGGAGCGACGGGGGGAATTATTATGCAATTTCATGGAAAACCAAAGCCTCTTTTTCATAGCAAATAAGGGTTGGACTTTAAGAAGAATAGCAGATATTTCCTCACTATCTATAAATATAATAATGACTATTTGTATATGCCCTGCTGTGTTTGGGGTAAAGACCTTTAGAACTGCACAAAAAACACAAAGAATTTTCTGCTATTTTAATATTTATGAATTATCTCCCACTCTGCCAAACTAAGAGTTGGAAATAGTAGATTGAACTTATTGTGGATTGTTTTGTCCATGACTAATATATCTTTCTTAGTTTTTCCATTTCACCTCAACACACAGAATAAATAGAATGAAACAATAGAAATGCAATAAAACTGATTTATATAGTTTTCACACATGTACCCCAGCAGAAAAACATAACTAAAGGGATGAATCTGTTTATTATAGGTACATTATTACATGGAGGGTTATTAAAGATGGGTGTGAAAATGACCTGTTATAAAAATGCAGATTATGATTCAGTTTTGCGCTTTGAACATCAATAAGAACTTGATACATTTTAAAAATTCAATACATTTTAAACTGGACATTAATACATAGTGATCTATTTAAAGCATTTATGAATTTTAAATTAGATGAGTTAGAGGTACACAATTAGAAGGTTAACCACAGTGGTGGGAAGATTGTAAAGCAAAGTCAATCGAAGAGTTTGGGGAGTGGTCTGTACCTAAGTCAAGCTGTCTAAAGTAGATGTTTCCTTCATAAGGTGTTAATTTTAGTGCAGAGAAATGCTATGTATGAATGGTGCTGCCCTCAACTATCTTAGCTCATGAGCTACATTTGTGTCTGTTTCCAGGGTCGTAACCTAATTCCTGCAGCCCCAGGAAACACTAAGCTGAACTACACGGTGCTGATCGGAGACACGCCCTGCGCCCTCACCCTGTCTGAGAGCCAGCTGCTGTGTGAATTGCCTAACTTAACTGGGGAGCACAAAGTCACAGTAAGGAAACTATTTGACTTCTTGTGATGTTTTCACCTGATCTGAGTGAAGCCTAGAGTAGCAGATCTTTAGGATTTCTTTTTTAAATCTGGAAACGAGCTTCAACTCATCCTGAGTAATATTTTCCTCCCATTATGCAGCTAATGGTTCATATTGTCAGTATCTGATGATGCAATCACATTTCTTTGTCACATTTATTCAGCATCCTCAGCTCAGTGTGCTGTTTGTACCACCCCCCCATACATCAATCTCCTTCCTTTTCATTCATCCATCTATCCTTCTGACCTAAATACCTCCAATTACTCCACATTTTACCGTATTCTGGAAGCTGTGAGCGCACATCCCTTCTCCCCGTACCGCTGGCAGCGCCTGCCACTGTATTTGTGTCTTAGAGGCTTTTGATCAGTCTGCTTTGGCTGGCATCCTCTCTGGCATTTGAACAGTGTTGGTGTTCAGTGGAAACCAAAAAATGGCTAGCAGGCATGAGAGGTCTTTTTCTATTTTTAGCCTCCTTCTTTTCTTATTTTAAAGATGTGAGCCTGTTCAAGGGGGTTTGGATGTGGGGGTGGGAAACGATGCTTTGGGACTGATCGTTTCTCATTATTTAATTTTATTAATTTTGATGTGTTCAACCTTTATGATGTGGTCTAAGACAATCAGGGTGCAGATACTTTCCTCCTCCAGCTCAGATAAAGACTGAAAACGATTTCCGTCTGTTTTTAGGTTAAGCAAGTAGACCTTTTTTTTTTTTTTTTTTTAACTTAAAGGTTTTCATGCCTAAAATATAATAAAACATAAGTAGTGATATATTACTGAGATTTTTATCCAGGGTTGGAAGAAACACGTCCATTCTTCCTCTGGTTTTCCCTTCCTACTTTTACTTCCTTCTTTTCTTGATTCCTCATTTCCATATTTCCTTCCCTCTTTCCTTTCTCCCTGTGGTTTTTGCAGGATTTCTAATTAAAGTCTGACCTTGAAAGACATCTCTGCATTGGAATCATTTGTCTAAAGTGTTTCTACTTTACAAATGGGCTAAATAATTAATATTTTGCAGTATTATTATCCGTTTAATTCCAATTTTGATGTTGGATTTATTTCTATGTGCCTCCTTTTTATCTTTGATTTATTTTGGTCTTCCATACACTTGCTAGAGAAATCACTTCCTGCCTTCATTTCTTTGCCAGGTCCGTGTCGGTGGCTTTGAGCATTCACTCGGGACTCTGCAGATCTACTCCGACACACTTCTCAGCACACCTGCCATCATCGGCATTACACTAGGCGGCAGCCTGCTTCTGCTGGTCATCATTGCGGTTCTGATCGCGTACAAGAGGAAGTCGAGGGACGCCGACCGCACCCTGAAGCGTTTGCAGATGCAGATGGACAATCTGGAGTCGAGGGTGGCCCTGGAGTGCAAAGAAGGTGAGTGGACAGTAAGAGGCACTTTGTTCAGCCAACACCTCCACACTCATGATGCGGCTGTTCCTCTGGCATCTTTCATCCCTCACAGCATATATGAAAACATTTCGACCAAAGTGTTTCTCTCCTGCTTTCCTCTCTTATTTTGGCTCTTCTAGTCAGCGCTCCCCTGTTGTTGGGTTGCAGCAGTTGTGTGTGTGCATGTTTGCGTGGGTATTGGTGCGTTTCCAGAGGGGCACTTTGATCTGAGCCAGCCACCAGATGTTGGCTCTCCACCCCATGAGAGCGCAGCCTGGCTGGCCACACCATGGTCTACACAGAGAAGCGTTGGAGGTGGAGGGGGGGCTGGGGCAGAGGAAGAAAGGGCACGGAGGTGGGAAAGTAAGGGATTGTAGGGAAGGAGTGGTTTGGCAACAGCTGAAGCTCAGGGAGGGATCGAGTGAAAGTTACACACCAGTGCATTAGCATATTTTCATTTGGCAGGAGGCAGCGTGGATCCAGGGAGAGGCTGCTGATGCTGGCAGAGCAGTGAGACAAGCAGATGGGGTGAAGGAGAAGGAGAATACTGATAACATGATCATCCCCATGTATTCATATATCTCTAACACAGAGATCACTTCATTTGTTGCATCGATTTAGAGAGGCTCCAATCATACGGACACAGTTTGTGCTCTTCTGGTAGCGGCTAGCCGTCCAAGTATTCCAGTCCTGATGTGCAAACAGTTTTACATCGGATTTAAATCAAGCAGATTTATTTTATCACTCTCTTCTAGATTTCTGTTTCAGTGGAATCATCTTTTTATCATAAGTCTGGGAGCGTCATGGTCAGGTAAAGGGATGTCATCATCCCCTGTTAAAGATGTCTGAAAAGGCCTAAAAAAAGTCTTTTATTTCTTCTCTTTTCATCTCCAAATTAAAAATGTGGTAAAAAACGGGGAAGAAGCAATTATTTGAATTAAAAGCAGCCTTAGCTCAGGGGAGTTGAGATGACCCTATATGGTCATGTTTTGGATCATTGTCCTTATTAAAATATCTTTTTATGACATACTTTAAGTTTACTGATAGAGCCTCTAAGATTTAACTTCTGTTGTATTTTTCGGTTGTTTGTGATAGTATGATGTTTGTCCAGTCTAATGTAGGAATCTACAAACTTTCATAACAGCTATTTTTCCCTGAGTCTGGCTTATTAAGTCATTTAGAAGCGCAAAATATTGAATGACTGTCTAATAAAACACATTTTGGGGTAAATATTTGCCATAGGAAATCTGTTGCCATCTTAAAAATAAATGTATTTGTATTTTTAGCTTTTAAACTAAGGAAAATCATCAAAGGGTTCATAATGATGTAGCACAGATTCTTCTATTTTATATTGTTTGATGTAGAAAAATTATATTTAAACAAATAATTTCTAAGGTAACAAAAAGAATAATGTAATATCCTGTTGTGAAAGTTCACTTCAAACATTCTTTATAAACCCCCCTAAGGCTTCTTAGACTGTTATTTTTCATACTGTATTATATTAGGTAGTTCTTTATATCATTTTTAGTCACTATTAAGAGCCACTGTAGAGGGTTTAAAGAGCCACATGCAGGTCCGGAGCTGCAGTTTGCAGACCACCAGTCTAATGGATATTATGCAAACTTGATGACCGCAATATTCTAATTTTTGCTAAAGTTCTTCAACATAGAGGTCTAAAAAGATTTAGTTTCACCATCATTCATTGTGTTCATTAAAAATACTGAAAAGAAGTGTTTGTCAGATATATATCCCTGGAAAACAAATCGTTATAAAGTATTTACTTTGACTAAACTTTAGTTACAGTCAATTTAAAAGGAGGTAGCATTAATTTTACCAGCAGTTCTGATAAAATAATTAATTTTTTCAGCCAAATGTTTTTCTCTTGATGATCCAAACACTGGAATTGAGAATAAATGTCAGTATTAAAAAGAGGAATTCTTACTTCCATGCAATCAGTCAAATAAAACTACCGGTATCAAATGTTCGGGTCTGTATCGATCAGCAACTTAATCCTGATATCAGATCTGAAAGCGACCTTAGCAGCAGAAATCAACACATTATTTCACTGAAGACTCCAGATAGAAGCTTCGATGGAATCACACACATCAAATATTCCCCTGCATGGATCTGATGAAACTGAAGAGAAACTGTGATAACCGAGGCAGGCACAGCCATGATATGACCACAAAATCTATTTATAGGCCCAGGAAAGTACTGCTACATATTTAGAAAATCTGCCTGGAGGAAGTTGAAACATCAGATTGAGATTCTCAAACTGCATTAAAAGTATCTGCTTGGACTGAGGCAGCCTGAGGCTACATGAGCTGATGCGTAACACACCTAAACCCCTAAAAAATGCCTTAAGACAGGCGGCCTCTGTGGGATTAAAATGGCAGATTGTGTTTGGTTTTTTGACTTTAATCAACCAGACTGATTTCCACATATCATGATTACATCAGGATAAATCTAGGATGCCGTATTGAAATTGTCATTTGAAGTTATGATGCTTTAGGGTTTCATACTGGTAGATTTTCAATGCCGTTAAAGGCAGAGAGCCTCGGATAAGGATATCAACAGTTTTCTTTTTGTGGGCCCTTCACAGCTCTCTCCCTGACTTGAATTCATTCCATGCCCTTTAAAAACTACCTGCAATATATATATTTATATTTGTCCGGACCGAACAACAGAAGATCTACATTCCCGAACCTGCTCTTTCTCCTGATGCCACTGCTGTCTGAAACAAAATAATCAATTACAAATGAAAGAAGGATGTGTGAAATAATTAGAATGGGGCTTATAAAAAAGGTGGTTCATAAAGAAAAAAGGTTAAATTAGAAACAGAATTATGAGGAAAGGCATAGACGGTGATATATAGGTTTTCAACTACTACTACAAATCTATTGTTCTTTTATAGAGCTTTTCTAAATATGTCCGAAAATGTAAGAAAAATGGTTTTAAAATCATTTTTTTTTAATCTTATAAGTGGATTAGTCAGATGTATTTAGATTGGATGCAGTGCACCATGTGGGAAAAGTGATGTGCAAATGTTTCTATAGATGGTGTTTGAACTTTGACTAGACCATTTGAATATGTGAATATTTTTATAAGCTATTGCATACAGATCTACTCCATTCTCAGGTATTTTTCATCCTCTAACAGGTCAACCTTTAGGATTATGTTGTTGATTCTGATCAGATGGAGAGTATTTATGTTTTGGGTCTTTTTGATGAGTAAACGTGTTCAGCTAACCTTATTGCCCTCTATTTAGCATACCTTTGCTGTGACCCTTGTGATTTTTTTCAAACTCTAAACAGGGTTCTCTTTTCACTTCTTCATAGAGGCCAGATTTATTATGTGCACAACTAATAGTTTTCTTATGCTGGACGTTATGGCTACTTTTCAGAAAGGGAACAAAAATGCAAAGCTATGCCTGAAAAGGATTTCATCAATTTAACCCTTCATTCTTTTCTTTCATTATCTTCTATATTACACAAAATCCATATTAGATACAGTATGTCAGTAAAGGAACAAAATGTGAAGAAATTCATGGGGCATTCATGGAAGACCGTGCATGTTTGCTGCAAGGTGTGATAGGTGGGAAGCAGCTGGGAAAATAGAGGGCATTAGGAATCTAAAGGGACAAATGAAAGAGAGATGAAGAGATATAAGAGGTAGAAAGGTGATGTCATCTTGATAAGAGGGAGGGAGAAAGAGAGATGGAAACTGAAGACAGGGTGACACGAGCCATCTGTTAGTCTGGCTTTGCTTTATTTGTTTGGATCACATATCTTGGTGTGCGCTGTGTTTTAAATAAGGCTACAGAGCAAACGGTTGTCTTTATGCCAAAGTTGTGTATTTACTCCTTAAAGAGTTTCCTATAGAAATAATGCACTTGAGACAACTTAAAAAGTTTCCCTTTTTATGTGGTTTTAATGGAATCTGTTTGAGAGATTTTTTTGTTTTCTATTAAAGAGAGTCAGGTTCAAGTGAATGCGGTCAAAAGAGACGCTGTCCGGGAGCTGAAAATGTGTACAAACATTGACACTGTTTCACATAAATCATCCAGGCACGAGGGTGTGTGTTTAGCTGTGGGGCAAAACAGAACCAGTGTGTGTGTATAACATGATGGGAGGTGGCAGGCTGTAATGTGTGTGTTCTAACACTCTGATGTCACTGCTCCCCTGCAGCTTCTAGGTCCAGACCACTTTCCTCTGTCCCGCCTCTTCCTGCCACCTTTCCTATGTAGCTTCTCTTTTTCTATAAGAATCATTTATGTAACTTCTTAGAAAAACATGAATTTATCAAATTTGAATGACTTCCCTCCCGATGTAAGGTTTTCAAACTGCTTTTATTTTTTAATCAACGTCCCTTGCCATTTTTTTCCAGCATTTGCAGAGTTGCAGACAGACATCCATGAACTGACGCAGGAGCTGGACGGAGCAGGAATCCCCTTCCTGGACTACCGCACGTACGCCATGAGGGTCCTCTTTCCTGGGATTGAGGACCATCCTGTACTCAAGGAGATGGAGGTACGGGTCAGTAACGAGCGCTCTGCACTCATGCACACCAACATACACAACAAGCCCAGCATAAATCAGTGAAAGTTTATACAGCAGCCCACACCTGTACATGATTAGAGAGCTTTAGATTAGATTAGAGATGGATTTTTAGCATTGCTGCAGCTAAAGATTTTAATAACATAAAGCAAAATAGACATAGTTGTTTTGATTTTAAATAGATGTTGAACCATAAAAGGTTTTTAATTTACTTCAACTCTGCAGGACAGACTCTTCTCTCTAATATGACTCATGTGGAAACCACTAGAGCAGAGATTTCAGTTCAATTTAAATATATATTATTTACAATAAATAAATGATTGACAGGCTTTTGTAGTTCAAAACACCAAGCTATACCTTTTTGGCAAGAAATCCTACATACACAATAGCGTTCACACATATAGTGATCAAATATCCTGCACTTTCTTACTATTAGAAATATTATTGATTCATGATATAAACATAAAACTTTAACAATTTGTTTGAGTCCTCTGCAAAAATTGACCTGACGATTATAAACCTATGATCATATGTTGCTTTTTTCATTGTAAGCTGCCAAGAGTCACAGCTTCAGATTTAATAAACTCAAAACTTCACTACAGCGGAGTTTTTAGGTTATCCAACTGTACTCCTTCATTTTGAAATTTCTTGGTAATTTTATGGAACTTTCATTGAACATAATACTTCAAAACAGCTACTTTACCAAATGTACCGCTTCTACAGAAAATAATGACAAAAAAAAAGAAAACATGAAATTAATAAATGCCAAAAATACTAGGAGAAAAAAACAAAATGTGGGAGAAATATTCTGATCATTTCAGTTTTTTTGTGGGGTTTTTTTTGTTTGTTTTTTATTGGACTAGTCCAAATATTGCTGCTTTTTCATTTGTATCAGTTAAGATTAGGTCTGGGTATTTAATGGTATTTGCAGTATAATTCAGTTTAACAAAATGCAATTTTCAAATAGCAGAGGAACTATTTTTTGGGGCCTATTTGCATTTTATAAGAATAAGTAGCTGGTTGGCAGCTTTACTGATAGGACAAGAGAGATGAAGCTAGCTTGCAGCTTTATGCCTTCAGGTAAAAGTTAGCGTTTTTTACACACAAATATTTCAGTTAAGTCTAGCAACAAAGGGACTCTGAACAAGCAAAGCTTTTAAGGGCGTGAAAAATCCTAATCCCTTTTTATTAAAAACATTTACCTGATTATTGTTTGTGCAAAGGAACATTGAAATAAAATCATAATATTGGTTTAGAATAATGGCAATTATCATTTTTGGCAAAACCATTCAGCTGTAGTCAAAGGTCGTCCTAATGTCAAAAACCAAAGAAAATCTTCCCTATTGTCATTGATGAGCTAAATTAGATATCATTTAGAGACAGACTCTTAGGAATATCTATGTAATAACCAAAATGCAACAGACCAGAAGCTGCTTCCTTTTTTGCCTGCAAAATAGGAGTTTCTCCTAATAATGACTTATTTCTTGATTAGATTCTGGTAGCAACTAGATACTTCGCTGACAGGAAACATATTTAATATCTTGTGGGCCTGTTACTCTATTATTGAGCTCTTTATGTATTAGAATAACTCACAGTTGTAAGGTTTGTGATGAGCTCTGCAGAGCTGCTAGTTTCTCACATTAAATGCTGGATGGGAGAGCCTTTAGCCTAAAGTTCAGGCAAAGGAAGGAAGCCGGAGTACCCAGAGAATCCCATGTGTGCACCCCCTTTCGCTGCAAGGCACCGGTGCTGATAAATGCACCACAGTGAAGCCGCAATAAAACTCCATAGTTGTGCCCGTCTGTTTCAGCTGTAGGGTTGCCGCTTCAGGAACAGGCCTTTGAGACCTTTATCTCTTCTTGCTATCAACTGTATACCAAAGCATAGTGTAACACAGCATTGGATTTTCATTTGTATGGCCTAGGCAATTACAGGCCACAGTGGTGCGCTAGCAGGCAGATCAATTTCTTATTACAGCACGAAGCTCACATTCTGTCTTCAGACCTGTGTTTGTGTCTCTCACATGGGGAGTCAGTTTCTAGATATTAGGAGGAAAGGGGTAAAGGGAGGCAGGAATGTGAAAGTATAGAAAAAGTGCACAGGGGTGAAAATTTGTGACAAATTCTGTGCTTTGTGTTGGAGATACATTTCCATAAATGCGTGTTAAGGAACAAATTGAAGGTCGATTCAGGAGAGGCTACCTTGATATTCACACACATTACCTCATTCACTATTATGCTTCACTATCGGTTCTGTTCTCATCATTCGTTTTCCATCATTTTCAGTTTACTTCACACCTTTCACTGCCTCTCTTTGTATTTCCACATCAAACCTACCACCTCCTCTTTTTCTTCTCACCAAAAACCTGCTTCATTTACACCACCTTCATCTTTTTCCTCTATCAGTACCTTTTTTGTCCCTTATTCTCCTCACTCTTATTTTTTCCATCTTTCTGTCTACTCTGTTTATCAGGTCCAAGCCAATGTGGAGAAGGCCCTGACGTTGTTCGGCCAGCTACTGACCAAAAAGCACTTCTTGCTGACATTCATCCGCACGCTGGAAGCTCAGAGGTCCTTCTCCATGCGAGATAGAGGCAACGTTGCTTCTCTCATCATGACAGCCCTGCAGGGGGAGATGGAGTACGCCACGGGTGTCCTCAAACAGCTCCTGTCTGACCTTATCGACAAAAACCTGGAGAGCAAGAACCACCCCAAGCTGCTTCTCAGGCGGTAAGAGAAAGCAGTTTGAGAGAGCGGCTAAAGCTGCACAAAAACATGTCAAATGCACCACTGGTTCTTCTTGGGGAGCTTTAAGTTTTTTGCCCTGTGGAGTGTGCCTGGGGGTCGAAGCCTTTGTTTACCAAACTCTTTGCACTTTTAGAGTCTTTGGGGAAGGGATTTTTAGTGTGAGTTTGCCCTGATTGGCCAAATATAAAATATTTTCTGACTTCCAAATTGACTTTACTTAGTCTGTTAAACCCTGCCATCGTTTTCATAGCCCTTGAACTGTTGCATGATTTGAAGGTGAGGCAGAAGGATAGGTAAGCAGAGATGTCAAAACAACTTACATTGTTTTCTCAAGTTAAAGTACAAATACCTGTATAAAAAAGATGCTGGTAAAATAATTGATTTAACTCCTTTACTTCAGTAAATGTAAAAAGAACGTTTGACCCAAAACATATGTTTATTTTCCTCTGTTGCTGTTAATGGAGAGAAAATAATCTTTCGATCTTGTTTTTTTCTAATTAAAATGATATAGATTGAACTGAACTGAAGTCCTGCATAAGCAGCTGAATCATTTGAGAGCTCTGGTATTCAAAATTAAAATAGAACATAATCAACATGTACATTTAAGGTCTAATAAAGGGGGAATGGATCTGAAATCTCGATTAGTATTTTTCTGTAAACAAACTTTGCTCCAACTGGACAGATTGTGTCCACTCTGGGTTTTTCTCTGTTCTGTTTTATCATGCCATCAATAATAGGCATGGAAAAATTTGTCAACTTTGAGAAAAAAGAAGCCAGAAATGACTTTTTTGTGTGTTTTTGTCAGAAAAAGGAACTTGATATTCAAAGATCTTAAGTACAGTAATGAAGTATTTATGGCCTAGTGGTTAGGGCATTGTGGGAAGCCCAATCTATGGGAGGCCCACTCCTTAACCCTTAACCCCACACTGCTCCTAGTACGCCGCACAATGGCAGCCAACTGCTCCCTAAGGAGATGGGTTAAATGAAGAGAGTTAATTTCGTTGCTCTGTACTTGTGACAGTGTAATGACTATAGAAAAGCCAGAAAAAAAAACAAAAACAGTCAACATCTGGATTTAGACCCAAATGCTCCTGAGAATCTGTGGCAAGACTCATTAATTGCTCTTTAAAAGAGTCTTTCCATCCAATTTAGTGCATTATTGCTAGGAGTGCAGTGATTGCAGATTTCTAGCTGATCACCAATTTTCGATCTTTATATATATATTTTTTTAACTGATGCTGTCTGTAGTCATAAGATATATTTCAATCTTATCCTACAGAAAGACATTAATCAGTACCAATGAAACAATAAAAACCTCTGAAATAACTGCTCTCAAATATAAATCAAGGTGTAGATCTTTGATGGTGGATGATTTTTCGTCCTTTGCAAAGACAGATAACATCGGGAGAAAAGAACCGTTTCGAATCTTAAGTATTGTTGGAAGGCAGATTCATCAGTGCACCCTTGTTGTTTTGCAAAGAAATGCTAGTCTTGATATGCGAAGAGGGTAGAGATACACCTCACCTATACAAAGACCTGCAACTGGTGGTTAAATAGAAAGACACACCACACCATTGTAGAGTATAAAGGATGGTTTGTCTTTCTTCATTGAAATATTGATTGGTAATTTACTTCCGCAAAATAACCATAAACATATTGAGTACAATGTTAGAGCATTCTTAGGTGGATAAAATCAGATGATTTCTGTCAGAAATAGATGATAGTTGACAGTGAGACTGTCAAACCAGTCCTCTCCCAGTCCTGGTGGCCTGTGCTAAAAGAGGTGAATGCAAGGGACAGTGGCTGTGGCTTCTGAGGCGTTTGTGACTAACCCTTGTCTCTATCCGTCGGACCTGTCCCTGTCAGAGAGGATTACACCCCCGAGCAGACATGCACTCCCACCGGAGCTGCGGCAAGACGCAACGCCGTATCCCCTCTCTTGCACTCACAGTGAGAGACATAGCAAGGGAAGGAAGTATGAGGAACGGAGCAGGTGTGAAGAACTGAGAGAAGAGGGTGAAAGAGGTAGAAAGGTGGATGCAGCTCCAGGGACGCAGGGAGGTGGTGATTGACAGAAGCAGAAGGAAAAGTGTCTACAGGGAGGTTGAAGCTTGAGGGAAATTGATGGGGGAGAAACATATAGGGCGAGATGCGGAAGAAGCTGCACAGAGGAGCCGTCTAATATGGGGAGGGTGGCGAGAAAAGTGGGGAAGAAAAGGGAAGCTGCAACAGATCAGTCATTAAAAAGATCCACATACTTAAGGAAAGACACAATTAAAGAGATGGTCTGTCCCCAAATAAAATGGAATTAGACATTTCATGATAAAAAGCAACTTTTCTCCTCACTTAATTCACTCCTCGGAAGATATTTAATTAAAAATCTGATTAAGAAATGACACTGAGTCTGTATGAAGCCTTTTTCCGGGCTGCTCCCGGGGAGTATAGTCACAACACGCCGTCTCTGCTAACCAAGGAGGCATTAGCAACAGGGCTCATTAAGCCTGTTTAGATCTTTACATCTCACATCAGATATGCAAGTTTTAATTTATATACATGCAGGTTTTATGAAATAATGTGTTTGCTTTCGATACATTTGATTTGATGTCATCAAAGTTTAGACCTCCATGCTTATAACCAGGAGAGCATCCCCCACTTCCTTCTTTAAAATCCATCAACCAAATTTTTTGGTGAACGAGCTTCCTATTATGAAAGTATAGTAGCAAAGTTTCTCTGTTCACTGTCCTTTCATGCCAAGTTCTTTATTTCCTGTTGCACCTACTTTCTCTCATAGCGTTTTTGATAGAGAAAAAAAAGGAATGATATACATCAAACAACACTTAGCAGTCCAAGCAGGAGGCTTACAAAAGTGCAGAAGTTCATCTCCTGCTTTCACAATAGGCTTACACTGATTTCCCTCCAATACTGGCCTACTTTTCACCACTGTGTTTTTTTTCTTTTTATTTTCGTGTCCAGTTATCATGAAATTCTTTGAATTTTAGTGGAAGCTTGGCTAGGAAATGTAATCTTTTTTAAGGCTAAATATTATCAAGGATTAAATGTACAATTCTTGGATGCAGAGATGGGAGATCTGGAGTCAACAAGTCACCTCCATGTTAGGATAATTATTATTGATGTGTGAGTTCATTACACCCTAATATTACCTGCCTGTTCCGTGTAAGAACTGATGTTTTCCCCCGTAGTTTATCTAATTAGGCCAGTTCCTCTGTATATACGGTTACTGTACGTGGCAAAGATTGGGAATGAAAGCAGTGTCTTTGATCTAAAAACAAAGTGTAATATTTTGATAAGGCTGGAGCCATGGATGTCTCCTCATCTGCAAACGTTTATGATGTAATGATGCGATGATGTGGCAGACTGAAGTATAAAATGCTTCTCTACTTGTTGGTCAAAGCCACTTCCTGAGAAGTGAGCCGGTTGGTAACCCTTGTAACCCTAAGCAACTTCTCTGATCTGAGTAAGATTATAATTTCTATCAAAATCTGTTGTCATGTCTCCTGGTTATTTAATACATATACGTTATGAAGTATTATTTAAAGAGTTTGTCCCGAGTGATCTCTTTTCAGGAAAACAAACCAGAGAGAGAAAGCTTCAATGTGTAAACACAGAGCTTTCCTTTAACGTCTATGTCATGGATTTGTTCTGCCCAGCCAATGAACCAGGTGAGCCTAATCTGCACAGGTTAAACATGATTGGACTCACCTGGTTCAGCACTGGCCAGAACAAATACATGACATAGAGATGACTTGTCGAATCCAGAGCCCCCATCTCTGGTGGGATGATTAGATATTGGATAAAAATATAATGAAAAAAAGGATAGAAATGTGTTAAAAACATAGCAGTGGAACCTGTCAGTCACCACTAAATTGATTGACAGGTTGGACAACTCTCCATCATTTCATCCACATCCAAACTGCTAAGAGACAAACAAAGAAGGTACTTTATAAAAGAAGCTCTCCTTTAGGATTTACGTTTATAAATTTGTACTATTTCTGTTCTTCGAAGAAGCATTAGTGTCATTCTGATGCAGAAAGCAGCACTTCTCAACCAATCATCGGCCTTAAAGATTAGTGTATAAACAGGTCTTTCTCCTCTCCATCTGGATTTAACTTTTTTTTAACCTGAGATCTTAGCAGAATTGATAATTTGTATATCCAATAAATAGTCTAATTACCCTCAAGTCTGTTCCTGTCAGAAATGAAAGTTCATAATCTCTGATCTCTGACAAAAATCCTGATCCTAAAGTGTGTCTGAGCTGATCATCTTCCAAACTGCCAAATAATCTGGACATTAATTGATGCTTTTCCATCAATTCAACAGTATACACATTTTTTGTTTCAAATGTAAAACCTGTTTCTAAATGCAATGCTTTAAGGTTTTCTGAGTTTTGAAGACCTAACTGCCTGATTAATAAATGTGAGAAGAGGTAACATTTTGTCATGCACTGTATTAAATACACTAACATTTACATGCCTTAATATTCTGACTTCTAGATTAATAATAACCCGTAGTTTTACGTCTTTTGCATCTCCTTTTTGCACCGTCTTTGAGATTGGTCCATTTATTGCAACTCTGCTCGCTCTACATGAATACAAGTCCTGAGTCGGTAACCCTGGGTTGACTCGCTGACCTACATCAGAGGGTTGTTTACCCTATTTTCTAAAAGAAGAAAACCTGGATATGTTTAAGCGGCTTTCGTGCTTACAAACTTAAAAACAACAGAGTCACTAAATACAATCCCTTTAATTGCTTTTTTCCTTTAGCGGAGGCTTCTGTTTAGAAGGAAACCAGCAGATGTTCCCCTCATAGTGTCGCAAATTCACCATTAACAACAGAGCTGATTGAATTATACTAATTGTTGTTTTTATAAGTGGGTTTGCTTGAAGCTAAAGAAAAGCAAGATGGATCTTAAACAGTGAATCAAGTGCTGGAATTTGTTTAACAAAGCGGTCTGGGTTTTAAAGGAGAACAGAGGTTAACAGCAATAGGACTGATGATGTCCTGTTTTATCGGATCAAAGTGGTATTCTGCAGTAACAGATTGGGGCTACATGCACATGTTAAAAAACAGGCTTCATGTAAGTTGTTTTTCCATTGGCTTACTGTAAGAATTAAGACACTATTTAAGAGAAATAGAACCATGTGGTTCAGGACTGTTGGGTTATGAGCATCTTTTAGCCTGTACAGCCGTAGGGGAAACCCCTGTCCTGACATTTACTGATACCCTCCACAATAATGGTGAACCACAGAAGATCTGTGCTAAAGAAGTCTGCTGATTTAGGCCTATATTTGGAAAACTGAATGGAAGAACTGGAGGAAAAGGTGGAGCAACAGTAGGGATAGATGCAGTTTTAAGAGGATTTAAAAGCTGCCACTCTTACAATCCTTGTGTGAAATCAGTTTCTAACCTGGCACAAAATGAAAGGTATTTTGCCTTTATTTAACACTCCATTGTCTGCTATAATCATCATGGTTTTATTGTCTTGATTGGCTAAAAAAAACTGTCTGGATTTGAAATGAATGCAGAATCTATGACGCCTTATTAAGAGGCTGAGGCTCCAGAGCCACGATGATGAGCAGAAGGTCACTGTTAGAGCAACCAGAGCTGCCTGAACGCCTCAGCAGAGCTGCATGCTGACCCCTCTGTGCAGCTCTGCATTGAAGTAACTCATGCAAAAGGAGGCCTGAACGGGTATTTACAGTGAATGGATTAGTTTTACAATAGCCTGACATTTCTGCATTCTTTAGGTAAAGCCTAAGTTTCTAGGAAAACAAAAGTTTGGGGTTTAACCAACTGTAAGTTACGGGGATAACAGAAATAAACACTACAAACACATCATTCTATGTATAACAGGTCTATGATAAATGTTTTACCTTTTGAAATGAATTATTGTAAAATATCACCTCCTGAAAGACTTTCTAATTTACTGAAAACCACCAGTATGAGCTGAAGACGTGTGCAAAAGTCTAAAAGCGTTGTTTGTCTTATTTCCTTTGCATTATTCTGCTCACACTCCAACCGATCATAACCTTGTTTCCTTCTCTTCCAGGACGGAGTCTGTAGCTGAGAAGATGCTCACCAACTGGTTCACCTTCCTGCTGTACAAGTTCCTCAAGGTAAAACTATCATGAGGATGCACACACTCAGAGCTGGTGGAGCAGTAGCAGCTCCTGCACGCACTAACACACATGCACAGTGCAGTACTGAATAAGACAGCAAAAATACAGCTTTGCCGTTTTTATTGAAAAGCTTGTCTCTTTACTCATGGAATCGGCAGGTACTGAAGCCCTTATTCAGATACAGGCTGTGATGATGGGATCACTGTAACTCTATGTTCTCTCTCAGGACTTAAAATCATCTCTTTTTTTGTCTTTTCTGTAAATCTGATTTCTTTTGAGATGGAGTCACTTAATTCTGCTAAATTCATGTCGCTTTTCATGCCCTGCCTCCATTCAGCTGCTTCTGGAGCTAATCAGTTAGCAGTGGGGCTTAAACACCCTGTCAGGACAGCCAGCCTGCTGGACAGCAAGCCGGCCAGGCCCCGAGGGGGTCCCAGTTAGCATCTGTGTATGAGAGTGTGTCAGCTTTGGATCTCGCGTGCATGCGTGTGTGATTTGGCTTCAAATGCGAGAATGGACAGCCGGAGCGGAGTTCAGTGGAAGGAGAGTGGGTTATGAGAGAAGCTGTTCGGGATTTATTCAACAGCTGTGTTTATGAACTTTAGACCGTCCCAAAATGACGGAGAGAAAAAAGGTGGGAAAATTGTTTTGAGAAAGTAAAGGAAGGCTGGAAATTATTGGGGAAAGGTTTTAGAAGCTGTTAAGAAATAATAGAAACACACGGGAGGTGGAGGACGGAAATTGGAATGGAGAAAACACGACAGCTTTTATCCAACCTTTGCAACTTGGCTTTCTCCTGAGTTTTCAAGGGTCAAAGAAGAGAAAGGCCCAGAACAATTTCAAGATTCAGTCAGGTGTGAACAGAGATGGGTAAAGGTCAAGTAGTGTTTCAGAGGGGCAGACGAGATGGAGCTTTTATCTACAAAAGGGAAGCTGGAGAAGAAGAAAAAAAGAAATCTTCCTTCCATTACCCGGTTCTTAAAGTTCACCTGTCCTCTTTTCCCTGGCCTGTATGGGAGGGTCGGCAACCTCATGTCCTTCCTCTATTTCTCAACCTGATATTTCTGCTTGTTGCTTTTGGTAAAATAACAGATGATAACATAAAATTGGTTTTGTTTTCTTATAAAGAGAAAACATCCCAACAATGCAGAGGAAGCGGTAAAGCCAGAGCAGAGTCAGAGCTGTCCATGTTCTCTGGCACCGTTTGAAGGAGACAGAAGGGCTGAGATTTGTTTGCTGTTAGGAAGAGAGGACGTCTGCCGGTGTGCTGTGTTTCCACCGTAGGAGGCAAGCAGAGCTGGATGATCCCACAGAGTTCAGCTTCCAGCTCGCCAACATGGCCGACTCCTGTTAATGGAGGAGCCTGCCTAGTTGGACAATGCAGAGCATAGAATGGAGAAACTGGGCCTGCAGTCGTTTTCAATCGTCTTTTCTGCAGATTTGTTTTTTGGATTGTTTTACTTGATGTCTCTACATTGACATATTAATAGACTTCTCAAATTATCTGTCACATTAAATATCACCAAAGATATTACTGGCATAAAGCATCTCAATGTATGGCTTTTATCTAATAAGCCAATTACTACAATAGAATCTGCAGTATTATTGTGTATAATGATATTTCATACATGTTTGTCATACCAGTCCCTTCATCATTCTGTGCATTACTTATTTACTGTTTTGCTATTTTAGGTGATTCATTTTAACCTGACATAACAGGATTAAGACTGTGTAGAATTCAAACTGAACTGCACCTATTCGCAAAAGGGAAGGACATTTAGTACAGTTCTTCGAGTGTATTAGGTACCTGCCTCCCATGTCGAGTTGTTAGCCAATCACGGCAGCAGTAGCAGCTTCATTTGTTTCCCAACTAGCGGAGGTAACTGATAAATCAAACACTTATGCGTATCTCTCCAATCCACTAAGTCAAAGATGGTTTGTTCTCTATCACATAAACACACAAAGAACCTCAATATACAATTGGCCAACTAATCTAACAGTGGAGGGAAGCCTGAGTACCTGGAGAGAACTCCTACATAACACTCCACAGTGAAGATCATATGCATGTTAAACATTTCTGAAACCTCTTCACAATAATTCTCTTTTCCTTTGTTGATTTTTCACAAAAGACCAATAAAATACTTTGGGGTTTATAGTTGTAGCATGACAGACTGACATTTATGAAAATGACTGCCTTTGCAAAGGCTCTCTAGGGACAATTGCCTCGAGGCATATAACTCCATTTGTTGTAATGACTTCTGGTTTGAAAATTGATTTCGACTGATAATCATACAAAGAAGATCTGTAAATAGGTTAATATGTCTCTATGTAGGTAGCTTCATTTGACTTTAATTGATTTTAGTGATCATTTCCACCAAGAATGATGTGTTTAATATGATCTAACCTCTAAACATCCCAGTGTCTGTTATTTTAGACAAAAGAAGTTGAACTGATTGGTGTGTTTTTTTTTTCCAGGGTGTCTGTAGATTTTAAATGAAGCTGTATGTTAGAATAAAATGGATGCCTGAAGTGGTTATAATCCTGCCTCACTCACTGTGTACCATTATTATATATGATATAAAGATAGCCAACGTTGCAAGAAATAGTTACTGACTTTAAGAAGTTGTGTAGCAGGCAGTTCTTACCCGGCAGGGTCAGCTAAACAGCTGGATGAAAAGGAGGGAAACTGAGCAGAGGGAGAAGGAGAGACAGACAGGGGTCCCCAACATCCCAGCGCTTGTTGCCTGGCTGACACGTCTCACACAGCAAAGTGCTTCTCCAAGCGCTTTCCAGCCCTCAGTCATTAACCTTCTATTAACTCCTCCATCAATTGCCACTCAGTCTCACTCGCACTTTCTTTGATTCTTTTCCTCCTCCCTACTCATTCATTCCCTCCCTCACACACAAATAGAGATTTTCACTGCATGTTTTTTTCCCTGAGAGAGGAGACTCGGGGGAGAGTTGTTCTGTCTGTTCTGTGCACTTTGCCAACACAGGCCATGGCCTTGTCCTCTCCTCACTGCCTCTGCTTCACTCAGAGAAGATTAAAAATACAATTAGTTGATCACTCAGCAAAATGATTTGTCAGTGTTTCTGCCAGGTTTTTAAAAAGTGGCATTCATCATTTTTATATCAATAGGATGCTGTAGGAGTACTATTCATTGCATAATATATTGTTGCACACTAATCTACTCAGACTATGCAAAATGTTGCACTTCCTTCAGCTGCAGTGGCTCTGCAACTTAGGCCCCGTCCACACGAAGTCAAAACGAACACGAAACGCTGATATTTTCCAAAACGTTTGCCATATTCCAGAAGAAGAAGATTCTGTTGTAAGCCTGACAGCAGGGTGAGTAGCATTAGCAGCAACGGCGCCATTGTTGTTGTGATACTGGTCGCGCATGCGTGTTTAGAGGCGACGCTATGACGCATGCGTGTAAAAAAAATATGCGGTTAGAGCGTAAAGATGGAAACGCGAAAACGGCGTTTCGAAATCTTCCCACTCTGAAGGCTGAATAAAAAAAAGATCGTTTACAGACCCCCGAAACGCCGGCTTCGTGTGGATGAGAGGCTGGTTTGGTGAAAAATTTGTGCGTTTAGGCCAGGGTTCGTCATCGTGTGGACGGGGCCACAGTTTGGCCACATTTTGATAACCCAGTTTATTATNGTTTACAGACCCCCGAAACGCCGGCTTCGTGTGGATGAGAGGCTGGTTTGGTGAAAAATTTGTGCGTTTAGGCCAGGGTTCGTCTTCGTGTGGACAGACCTTAAGCCCCTCCTCTCACTACAGCCGCTCATCAGACCAAAACAATAAGCAGCTGTTGGTTTAAACGCTGCTAACATGTAGAGTACAACCAAACAATGTAATATATATATATATATATATATATATATATATATATATATATATATATATATATATTTTTTATTTTTTTTTTTTTTTTTATTATTATAATATTTTGAGACCCTCTTTAGGCGATCAGGCAAATAGTATAACATTGTTAGAAGGTACCTTCCTTAAAAGGCAAAATTAAAAAAGGAATTTAATGACAAACCATGCCACATGCTAGTTGCGTTAATGCTGCAGGTTGACGCTACAACACTGATGTTTGAGACCAACTTAAAAAGCTCTTGTATCTACAAAGGTGGAGTGATAAATCAGTGACAACATGAGCTAATATTAACTGTTTAAATATAGCTTAACTGAGTGATGCAGCCACTTCTGTCTTATTTGACTCTAGTAAGAACAATTAACGCAGTAAATTGTCAATTAGGGTCAGTCGCCTGCTAAAAATTGTAGGAAGTAAACACAGCAGTTTTAGTTGATGTTCATGGTGTAGATGTACTCCTGTATGGGGGACTGTTGGCCTAGTGGTTAGAGCAGTGCGCTTGTGCTCTGAGAAGGTTGCAAAAACCCAGTTCGACCCCCACAGCTTGAACTCTGGGTTCCTGAGCAAAGACCCTTAACTCCCGATTGCTTCCCGGGCACCGCACAATGGCAGCCCACTGCTCCCCAACGGGATGGGTTAAATGCAGAGGTACATCAGAGAACATCAGAGGCTAATGTGGCTAGCAACAGTGCTAAAAATAAAAAATGTTTGAGCAGAACAGAGTTGTAAACTAAAGCAGAAAAAAGGTTAGGAACCTGCAGCAACCTGGTGGTGTTGTTGATTGCCAACTAGAATATCATGGAAAATTAATAGAAATACAGACATTTGACAAGGCTGTTGCTAAATAGGCTAAATCTGCATGGAATATATCTATGCAGATCCATGTTTGTTTAAAAGGCTGATTTATTTCTGTCCCTCAATACACACATTTAATTGGGTAAACAGTAGTTTGGCAGCCAAATGGAAACATACAGGACACTAAAGACAAGCAGCTCAAATTAAATACAAAAAAAGTCATATCGCTGTTGACTTTTACTTATATTGGAAACTTGGATTGAAACGCGTAAAGAAACGTCTTTATAACCCTCAGCTGAGAAACTTAGATTTTCACTTAAATGTTGTCTGCAAGTTGAGGAATACAATCACCAAAAAACATCAAAACCAAACCAACACTCCCTGACAAGGCTGAATTAGGCTGTTTATATGTTAGTTGTGTGTTGTTGTCGTTTTTTAATCCCTGTAATTACTGGTTTGATTTGTTTTCATTAGAGTAGCTGAAATTGCATGTCAGGTTTTTCTTTCTATTTCAATAATACAAGTAGAACTAAATGATTGTACAAGTAAATCAAAGGTTTATACTTTAACAAGGTTTAACATATATTTATACTAAGTGTGGTTTTGCATTAATGAACAGGGAGGTAATCATTTATACTATTAAATCAGATATGTTACTAAAATAAGGGCTGAATTTTCCATATTTAGGTTTTCCCCTGATTGTGCAAATTAAAGTATTGTCATAATCATGATTTGTTTTGCATACAACAAGAATAAATTCTTCACTTTTAGAAAATGTTGACACTGATAATAGTTTTTTGAAGTTTAATCATTGCGATAGGCCCCAATCATGTAGAGGTTACATTTGGTTCTTTGTTTCCTTTCCTCAGGAATGTGCTGGTGAGCCTCTCTTCATGCTGTACTGCGCCATGAAGCAGCAAATGGAAAAAGGTCCCATAGATGCAATCACAGGAGAAGCCCGCTATTCTCTAAGCGAGGATAAACTCATCAGACAACAAATTGACTACAAAACTTTGGTCAGTGGATGCGGCTTTTTATCCTGATGCAGATACATTTGCACTAGTCTTAACAACTGTTTTTTTAATCCATTCCTGCTCTTTTCACTTCCTGGTTTACATATAATCCCTCCTCTCTTTTTCCTTTTAGACGCTGCACTGTGTGAATCCAGAGAACGAAAATGCCCCCGAAGTCACAGTTAAGACCCTTAACTGTGACACAGTGACTCAGGTGAAGGAAAAACTGCTGGACGCTGTGTACAAGGGGACCCCCTACTCCCAGAGACCAAAAGCCTCAGATATGGATCTTGGTGAGGACTTCGGTGGAGTAAAATGTTGCAAAACACTTCAAGTTAACACGCTTGACAAAGATGTGCAGCAGGGGAGGTAGAGAGGGAATCATTATTTGAAGGGCTCTCTGAAGCCAGAGGGTTCCCTTTAGAAAAGGAGAATTAATCTGAAAGGATAAATATTAAACATCCTGTGCAGGGTTGCTACTGTTTGTAAGTGGTAACTTGTTGCAAACATGGCCTCGCCCATGTGTTTGATTCCTTGGATGCGTTTTCTGGTGTCTGACAGAGTGGCGGCAGGGCAGGATGGCGCGGATCATCCTTCAGGACGAGGACGTCACCACAAAGATCGATAACGACTGGAAGAGACTCAACACTCTAGCTCACTACCAGGTACCCAGCTGGATATATTCACCACAGTTAGAGCTGCTTCTTCTGTATATATTGTCTGGTTTCTCATTAGGTCTTACCTTTCATACTCAAAGTAACTAATAACTGAATGATGTGTTTAATCTAAAAGAAATAGTTAGTGTATTTCAGATGCAGTAGAGTTCAAAAGACTTGGAACATTCCTAATTTATTTATAGATTTCTACCCTAAATCACACTTTATTTATGGTCTTTTTAATTGCATTTTCCTTTAAACCTAAAGAAAAAAATGTTTTAAGTTTGCAAATAAACAGCGACAAAAACATATTTGGACATATTTATTTAAGCTTAAATCCTAGTTTTATAATTTACAGAAGGGTTCAATGATAAATCAGTATTATGATCAAAATTATTTTATTTAGAACAGACCTCCTGCAACAATAATTTATCTTTGGACTGTTTAGACAAACTTCAGATAGAAAAAAACAGAATAGGAACTAATAAGTTTACTGATTGCTTACATTTATTTGTGTAAAATGTGACCCTTTTCTAAAACGGGACACTGTACTGGGATTCTGTATATGCATGTTTAATTAATAACTTCTTCCTGTTAGTTTTTGTTCCACCAGAGAGGAAGAAGTATAGTAGTCGCCTTTGTTCAGCCAGCTGACCGGCAGTGCAGGACAAAAGGTGGAAAATGGACAGTGCTGCTGTTTACTTTTTGTCTGGTTTCTCATTAGGTCTTATCTTTCGTAGTCAAAGTGAACACCAAATATTTACTAGTTGCTTATTTTTATTTCCTCCGTTTGTTCAGTTTTCTATTATGGCCAAAAAAATGAGAGAAAAATCAGGAAAAAGTAGCAGAACCAAAATCAGGTCAGGATGGTGATCGATTAAAGCCCCTTAAATCTGGCAAAACAAATACCAGCAAACATTTTGGGTGGCTAAAAGCAGCGTGGTGAAATGATTGGTGGACTTTCTGCTGTAAAACTAATCTTAGAAATCCTGTTGCAGGTGACGGATGGCTCAGTGATCGCCCTGGTGCCCAAACAGAACTCGGCCTACAACATCTCCAACTCCTCCACGTTCACCAAGTCCCTCAGCAGATATGGTACGAGAGAAGGTGTGTGTGTGTGTTCTGTGTGTATGTGTGTGTGTGTGTGTATAGGGGATGGGCGGGGCAACTTGTCAACATTGTCAACTTGTCACTGTCGTTTGTGTAAACTGTGTTGTACGTTTAAACTGCACCTCTACCTACGAGATGATGTTTGTTTCCTTTGGTGGAGCCTTCTAGACAAATATTGGTTGTCAAAAAAGCTCAACAGAAAATGTTTTGCATATATTGTTTTAGATGAAATTGTGCAAATAGAAGAAGCTTTTTTCACGATTTTGCAGAAGTGCATTTTATTTCACCTGTTTAACTAGTTTGTTCTAATATAACCTTTCTGAAAGGTTGCTGTAAATATCTACTCACACAAACCCCGTCACCTTTCCTCTGCACATCCACGGTCCACATGCTGACATTTCCAACCTCTCAATCCTTTCCTGCTTTGTCACACAAGTGACAGGCATTCAAAGTGAAGGCATAATGCTCTGTCACAAATATGGGATCTCTGTGCCATAAATAGAAGAGGGGTGGAGAATGACAGACATTTTTATTCAGGACTGAAAGAGTGACACAGCTGTCACCTTTCAAAAAGCTTTTAACTTCCCAGGAAGGGTTTCTGTTTGCAGCTTCCTCAGGCCTTTTATTTATTTTATTCTCCTCCTGTTGAAATCTGTGCCTAAATCAGGACTGTACCTGATTACAAAGCAGAGACGTGTACGCTCATAGAATTAAACAATATAAGGTCATGTACCTTCACATAATGTCACTTTACAGCCACAGTTGTAGCTTTTCTGCAGTGATATTAAGTGGTGTTTTTGACATGGAAGGAGAAGGATAAAAAGATTATTTGTGCACTTCGTAACAACAGTATGCAAAGTTTGACAGGACGACGCCATGTAGAAAACAAATCAAATAGATAATATATCATCTTATGAGATGAAAATTGAGTTTTGTGCCCTTAATACAAAACTTACAAGACTTGAAAACTGAATAAACTTGAGCTGTTTTGCTAAGTTTAGCTGCTATGTGTGCAAAGCTGATGGAGCCATTTCCTCAAACACTTGAAGCTGTCATTGTCAGGGAAAGGCAGCTCGTCAAAGCATAGGCATAGGGGGGGCTGAATACAAATTAACACCAAAAGCGAAGATTTAAATCCACTTCTTAATTATGCACATATTTGTGTTGGATCGTAACGTGTGATCCCAATGTATTGCATTGCAGTTTATTGTAAAGTGACAACATGTGAAAAAGGTCATTTAGGTCAGTAATTAGGATTCTTACCCTCTCCTGCAGAGGGCGCTGTTTTCTACACATTATCTTATGAGATACACAAGCTTTCCTTTATGAGCTTAATTCTTAACAAATCCTTTCTCTCCTCTTCCCTCCTGTATCCTGCTGCGCCTTAACCCGGCCTTTATCAACCGTCTCCAGAGAGCATGCTGAGGACAGCCAGCAGCCCAGACAGCTTGCGCTCCCGAACACCCATGATCACCCCTGATCTGGAGAGCGGCACCAAGCTGTGGCATCTAGTAAAGAACCACGACCACTCAGACCAAAGGGAGGGGGACCGGGGGAGCAAGATGGTCTCAGAGATCTACCTGACCAGACTGCTCGCCACTAAGGTAACAAGAAACACATCCTCCCCCTTCGACACGAACCATGTCATGTAGTCCGCTTAAAACCTGCAGTCTCTGTTGACCTTTGTTTGCCAGTGGTCTCAAAGCTCATTAACATTTTTCATAACCTTTTCCACAAAGACACATATGTACGGTCTTAATTAGGAGGTTGACCTTTGACTATTGAGTTGTTAGCTTTGCTGTTCTGGGCCCTCTGTTGGCGGCCCCTGGGCTTTTAGATTCAGGTCTGCACCATCACTTTTCGCCACACCGCACCATATACACCCCCACACAGAATGAGAACCTTTAGTTTTTACTCTGCCTGTGATTCTCTGGTTTAGTGTGACCTTATTTGTAAAAGACGAATCCCAGGATCTGTTTTATATTCTAGGATATTTGACAGCTGTTAGCTGTAAAAACATCATAATCACAAGATCAGATAGATTAATGAGTACAGACTTTTATCAACGGTGTTTAATGAGCAGCGGTTCTTAAAGAAAACCTGAGGATCTGCTTTCCAACTGGGTTTATAGGCAACAAATGAAACAGTTGTGGAAAAACAACAAAAAGCAAAACTTTGCATTAAGGGGAAGGCTGAGGTAGAGAGAGACGCCATAATTTTACGACTGAGTCTGCGTTCCATTACAAAAAATCAGACTAACATGATCTCGGAGGCGATAGCTTTCCAGTTTCCATCTTATGGTTGCTTACATTCTCAGTTATTTTGTATTTTGCTGCTGTTACAATCATGACCATCACAAAAAAATGTTCTATTTGGTAATCTATGCATATAAACGACATTAAAACCCAAACTTAGGGTGTATTTATTTATACCTGCCACATTTGGCTCACTTTGGACAAACCAGTTTGTTCCCTTGCTTGGTTCGGACCATGAACCGCTCTTTGAGGAGGTCTTAGTTCACTGTAAATGGACTCTGGCTTCAGGTTTGAATACACACCAACCTCATTCCAACCTAAATGCAAAAAAGGGTATGGGTTTTTGGACTTAGCAAGCCACCGTAGTATCTTAATCATACTCGTTCTGTTACTTAGCTTACTTCCTTTGTTTGTAGGAACATTCTCCGACAATTGAAAAAATAAAAAAGTTACACAATCTGCAACTTTAGAGGAGCTCAATGATTCTGTAGCTAAAATAACAGTTTGAATATGCAAACCAGAGACGCTGCATGCAGGACTCATGTAGTTTCCTGGTCAGCGCTCTAGCCTGGTCATTTCTGATCAATTGCAGCTTTACTGTGAGTTAAGGTTCACTTGGAAAAAGTACAAATTGAAAAACAAACCTGACAAAATAAAACAAATAAGGTATGCTTTTTTTACGGACCAAACAAGCAGACTAGAGCGCTTTTCTGGTGTGAATACACCCTAAACCCTGAAGAGAAGTTTGTGTAAGACAGACTGAATCATCATGAACTGCTAAACACAATTAAAGTGAGGAGTTTTTCTACTGTTGATTAAATGAATCGCTCCGTCTCGTAATGCTTACTTTCTAGTCAGTTGAAATGTTCCTCTTGAGTTCATAAATTCCAACCTCTGAGAACAAATGGAATGCAGCATGTATTTAATCAAGCTCTTAAAACTTGCTACAAATATATATCTCTTCCTGATTTCTCTATTAGAGCTATAACAGAATAATTAAATCTATTTTTTGTGGAAATTGACTTAGCTTATCCTGCCTTTTTCTTTCCACTCAAAAGGTTTTTACACTAGAGCTGCATTCTTCAAGCCACGCTTAGGAATGTGGGGAATACTCCAACATGAAAAATGTATGAACAAACAGTATCTTACCTGCAGCAGATAGCAGTAAGCATGAACTCCCTTTTTAAGTTTCAGCTCCCGAGAGCAGAGCTGTTGTAGGAGTTGGAGAACGTATTTTATTCTCTGCTGTACTCTGAACTGAATAACAGCCTTCCTGCTCCACTGACTGCATACACGACCTCTGAAGTGCGTTATCAACTCTGGATGTCTTCGCTGAAACAAATAAACCTGCTTAAAAGTGACACATCTTGATCAGAGCTTCTATGCCATCTGAGAAGTGCGGAAGTGAGTTTATGTGGTTTAGAGTGGAAATAATTAAACAGAAAAAGGAACGAATCTTTTCCCTTTCAGACTTTATTACAATTCTCACGCTCTACAGCAGAGTCATCAACAGGGCGTCCACAGAGGTACTGCATGGGGGTTGTGAAAGTTTTGGTTTATTAGACTTTTTTTTAATATTCCCCCTGCAATTTGTTTCACTAATTGAAATTTCCTTAAATCCACATTAACATGAATTCAACACACTTTAGTAAACAGATAAATGGAGGCAGGAGATGTCTTTCAGTCATCAATGCACACATTCAATGACACACAGGAGCTCTTTAAAGCTGGGCACCGTTTCATTCACAACACCTGTCCCATCAACAAGGAACCAGAATCAGAAATACTTTAATAATCCCAGGAAGAAATTACTTTAATTACATTACTCTATCTGTAATAGAGTGACTATAGGGTAGGATGTAACTCACTTTCATACAATATATATAATTAGGGGGTCCCCGCTCCATCTCGCCATTAGTTTGGGGGTCCTTGGCCCTGAAAACGTTGAAGACCCCTGCTCTAAAGGAATTAGTGTTTTAAAAAACAAATTGGTGTGATCAAATAAGTTGTTTCCTAGATACAGTCTGTGGCAAAAGCAAAGTTATTGAGTAAGGAGTTTGAGCTTCGGACAGAAACCACAGATAAGTGCAGACTATTTAAAATAATAAAATAATAATCATTTTGCTGCTTTTTGTGTTCTGTTGTCCCTTAGAGATTACGGCTTTAATTTATATGGAAATCAGATGCTAGACAAAACATAAAAAATACAGTTTTATTATACTTTTTATAAACAAAACAACAGCTATTGGGACAAACCGTATCTCCCTGCTCAGTGATTTGAGCTTAGATTGTTTAAGATTTTAGAAAAATCTAAAAATCTGAGCCAACAAATTCGTTGGAACTTTTTTTTTTTTTTTGGGTACCTTTAGTCCAACATGTGGGTTTGAAAAATTATTCTTAGTGGCAGAATCGTTTAACGACTTCCTAAATATTCATATAGCATCACAAATATTAGTCACAGTAAATAGAAAACTGGCATTGATAAATTAATTTAAAGCAGGAAGAACTTTTCTTGCTTGAGCAGTTTAAGATTGAACAAACTTGTTCTCCAATCAGGTTGATCTAAAATCAACTCTAAGGATTTGTTTCTGATTGTCTAATAAAGATAAGTGAATGCTGTCTGCTTTGAGTAAGATACTGATTACTCTTAACTAACCCATTTAGTTATGCTTAAAGAGAAATAACATCATTCTTTGTTTTTTTTTTCTAATTAAGGAAAACCCAATTAGCTTTTGTACTTAAATAAAATTCTGCTTAAACTTAACTCTTGGAGCCGTGAGAGAAGTAAAAATTAAATAACTTCAATGTTGAGGTCTTGTATGATCATTTTTCCCTAATCCTGACAGATTTCTGCTGGTCTCTGCTCCCCTAACAGTTGATAAAAAAAACTGCATAAAAATATAAAATGCACAAACAGAATTCAAGCAATGAAAGCAGTGACAAGATCTGCTCATTAGCCTCAGATATCCCTTGTTTCAGCTCCAGGTAAAAACTGCATGGTTAGCTGCAGCAATAAACCCTCAATGAGGAAAAGATTAACATGCAGGCCAGAGGAAGACAATAGGGGGAAAGAACATGCCGCGCTGCAGTGAGCCTCTGCACATTGCATCCCCTACAGCATTGTGTGTTTAGGAAGCAGATTTGTTCATGTTAGAGAGGACAAAACTGCAACTTGAATTTTTCGGCTGGTTTAAATAAAGTTTTGCAGAAGGTGGTCTGGCTGCTTGAAGGGAGGGCTTATGGGAAATCTAAAATCATTTTAACTTCAGAGAACTTTGTAAGGATTCTTAACCCTCCTGAGGTTATGTTATGAGGTTAGAAAAAAAACATGGTAGAGGAGCCTTAGGCTGAACTCCCATTGAGCCTCTTCCTAGATACAGTAAAGACTACTGAGCACTCTGCATCATCACTAACTCCCAGGAAACTGGAGCACTGAAAGCAAAGCACTGTCATTCTGAAAACCCTTCTGCTGACGGGTTTCGCCTGCAGCTAGATGGTGCAAGCACATCCAGCTGCAACACAACTGGTTAAACTGGGGTGCTTGTTTTGGAATATAATGACTTATTAATTCTTTAAGTCATTTAATTAAATATAACCACATAGACCCACTTAGACGAACTCTCCCGTCTGGGAATTTTATATAAAAATTTGCTGTATTGTGTGCACATTTAAATAAGGGTTTTCAATGTTAAGAGGAAGTTAGGGAAAAAAGTAGATCATGGAAAAATATATTTTTACTCTTTATTCCCGTTTGCATTGTTAAAAGTTGTACCAATCAGCCATCCAGTGTTTAGCAAGAATTTTAAATGTTTTAAATTCCAAACTTATCCAAATACACTATGTTGTAACCTGCTGTCGGTTCTCTGGTTTCAGGGTACCCTCCAGAAGTTTGTGGATGATTTGTTTGAAACCATCTTCAGCACAGCTCACCGCGGCAGCGCCTTGCCCCTCGCCATTAAATACATGTTTGACTTCCTGGATGAGCAGGCGGACAAACACTCAATAACAGACCCTGACGTACGGCACACCTGGAAGAGCAACTGGTGAGGCAAAACGCTGCAATGTTGACGTGACTTTAACTTCCTCTCCGTCATGCAGCTCTAACGCCTCATTTCTTCTTCCTCTACATCCTGTTTCTTTCTCTCCATCCTTGTAGCCTTCCGCTGAGGTTCTGGGTGAATGTAATAAAGAACCCACAGTTTGTCTTTGACATCCACAAGAACAGCATCACAGATGCCTGCCTGTCTGTGGTGGCTCAGACTTTCATGGACTCGTGTTCAACATCGGAGCACAAACTGGGAAAGGATTCTCCTTCTAACAAGCTGCTGTACGCTAAAGACATCCCCAACTATAAGAACTGGGTTGAAAGGTGGGTCAGTTAGTAGGAATTCATGGTTCTACGTCTGATGATTATATCCAGCGTCTCTGAATGTAAACTCCTGCCACTGTTTGCTCAGGTACTATTCGGACATCTCCAGGATGCCTGCCATCAGTGACCAGGACATGAGTGCCTACCTGGCGGAGCAGTCCCGGCTGCATGCCAACCAGTTTAACAGCATGTCAGCTCTACACGAGATCTACTCCTATATAGTCAAGTACAAAGATGAGGTCAGAGCTCATGGTTTCTCTAGAAACCTTTTCTAAGATGATGACATTGGTTGCAATCACATTTCTTTTTCCTCTTTTTCCATCACATCTGTCTTTATAGTAAAATAAATAATTTGATCTCATTAATAAAACATACAGAAATACAAATTGCATCAATCCCATGTTAATTATTGCAAAAAATGGTATCTGAACCCACCTTGGTTCTTAATGCAGCTAAAGTGATTCATTGCTGCATATTCTACATATACCAAGAATTTGCCTATTAAATAATAGTATTATTGTAAATAAATGCTATCAGTAAATGGATAAATCCAAAATCCCAAATGTTAAACACTATCTCACCTTTCAGCACGGTTTGAATACTGGCTGAAAACCTGTAGCGCATACTACTGCCTGATTTTTAGTTTAACCATTATCAGATTATATCAGGCATCACAAAATCTATGTGCAAGTTTCTGTTTAGTTTACAGAAGTGGTATGCATGATGCCAAACGTGGGGGGAATGATTAGATTACTTTAGTTTTTGTTTTGTTTAATAGTTTTTTATAAATCTAGACTGAATGATAATCTCCCATTAATGGCTATTATATGTCTAATTGGCTTGCCATACTTGACTGATCCTCTCCTGTGCTGCTGTTTATGTTGACCTGAGCTGTTCACTGTGGAATAAAAACAACTTAATGGGTCTCCAACCTACTTGATGTTATAAATATTAGCGAATCATGCATTAATTTGGTATGTTGGTGCTTTTAGGTGCCACCGTTATATTTTTAGTGTCATAGTAGAAAGGAGTAGAGTAGAGATCACCAGTGACAGATCCTTGTGTAACCTGGTTGTAGTCCTCTACAAATCTTGTCTGTGCCGTGAAAGTTTATGTTGTATCTTTTTTGTTTTTAACGGCGTAGATTAGTGTTTTAAAGGCCTTCTTTAACATATGGCTCATCATTAAATAGGGAAAGGATTGGTGATGAGCTGTTTTCCTCCAGGAATCCAGTAGTCTAGCTTTAAAGAATCTAATTCAGATTCATCCTTTGAAAGAATGTGTACATGCTGTGAAAACTAAGGTTGATGTATTTGTAACATGAGCTGAATTCTCCCCTTTCTATTTTCAGATCTTGTCAGCTTTGGAGCGGGACGAGCAGGCGAGGAGACAGAGACTGAGGAGCAAGCTGGAGCAGGTCATCGACACAATGGCCCTGGCCAGCTGAGGACAATCCACCTGCTCCCTCTCCTCACTGCTCTCCTCATCTGTTGCTCTGTCTCCCTCGCTCCTCTCAGACAACAAACAAACAAACAGACAGAAAAAGGTCCAACCCCCAGAAACACGGACTGCTAAAGTACCGCGGCAGTATACTCCAGACTTGGGGTGGGGTTCGGCGGAGATGGGCGGGGCCTGTGTACGCTTACATGTGTATGTTTGTGTTCGTCTGCAGCCCCGGCGCAGCGTCTGGGCTTTTGTCTGTGTGAGAGACTCGGACTCCGGACATTTTTCACACCTGCGTCAAATGGAGAACAAGTCCCCCGATAGCGTGTGATTATCGTGGATGTTGGTGTTTGTGATTTGCCTGAGTTTTGTTTTTCTTTTTCTGGGGGTATTTTAGAAGAAGATGTCCTTATGACACTGATGATGATCAGGAAAAAGCTCAGACACTCCAAACATGGCGTCACCAACAGAGTGGACCAATCTATTAGAGCCAATGGAGACCGGCTCTGAAGGTCATGTGATTCGTCACGCTTTTCTTTTTCTTTTTTTTTTTTTTTTGTATAAATGTAATCAACTGCCCACTCTCTGATCTCTCGCCACTTGTATTACTGCTGAATTTGCACAATTTACAGAAACGTTACAAAGCAAGACTATATAGATATTATATATAGATACAGTTTTTAAAGAAAGATTAGAGAGGAAAACATTTTTGTTGTTTCTTTTTTTTGTTGAATCCGGTACAATTTAAAAACAAAACAGTGAGACATGATTTGATATTTCAAGTACAAAAGAAATGACTCCAAGTAGGCAGAAAATGAATGAAAATCTAAATAAAAAAATTGTACTGTGCCATGTTTTCTTTGAATGTTGTTAAGTGCAAAGACATTTTGTTAGATGGAATGTGATACAGTCTGTTTTTCTTTTTATATGAACATTGCCTAGTGACTGAAAAGAGCTGATTGGGATCATTGTTGAACGTGGAAGTAAATATAGCGGCGGACAAAAACTTCATTAAAATGCTGTTTTGATTCAGACGGTTTTATAAAGCCAAATATGAGGCCATTGTTACTTTGCTGTTAGCTTCTAGCTCCTCAGCTGCTCCTCCAGGATCGAGAAAAGATACCTGATCTTTTTCTTTTAGCGACTCAACAATGAAGTAGCAACATTGCACTACCTAAAACATTTAGCTGTAGTTTCCCCAATGTTTCCACCATGCGGTTGAACTGGTCACTAATGAATAAATGTTTAACTGTTTTCAGTAATGGGAGAAAAAAAAAGTGTATACATAATTAGGATTCATCAGAGTAATAGTTTTCAAGTGTTTATTTCTGTTTATCCCTACTTATGAAAACAAAATGGTTACAGGAAAAACACTTGCGGCTTCTTTTTCAATGTGACACAGAGGCTGTCGGTCCCAATATTTCTATTGCGTTATTAGCTTGCTTTAAAGGCGATTTAAGTTATTCTAGATTGGTAGCGCTGGAGTCTGACATCTTTGTCTCGGCAATTCCCCGTAGATTCTGTGCTGACCTTTGACCTGGGGAGGTCTCTTACTCTCCCCTCCTCCTCCAAACTCCTGGACCTTGATTTCTAAATAAAATAAAAGATTTTCTTTCCTTTGAGAAGACAAGAGGCTTCCTTTTTTCTTTAGATGCCTCTAATGTCGATGAGTCATATGACTCAGGTGTCCTGAAAACATCTGTCTGAAGCACCGACTCTAGTCGCTGTCCAAACCCTAAAATGCACCTTCCCTTATCATCAAGGTTTCTTTTGTTGCGTGTCCACCTTTTCCTACCAGTCTGTTTTTTTTTCTCCTTTCCACTCAGTTTTCCCCCAGCATCCTTGTAGACAGCTCTTATCAATTACCTAATTTCTGCAACAAACTTGCTTTTTTTTTTTTTTAGAGGGGTGGAATAATGCTGTCAGTCTCCCTTATGACCCAGAAGCCCATATGATATCATTCTGTATTAAAAAAAAATTTTTATATGGTTATTAGTATTATTTTTCCGTGAGAAGCGACATGTTTTATTTGCTTTAATCCTTAAGGTCAAAATGCACAGGAATAAACTATTGAAATCTATCACTCTGCATACAGGGATTCTTTTTTAATCTTTTTTTTTTTTTCTTGGTGGTCTGATTTACTGTGATGCAACAATCATGAATCCACAAGTCATCAGTTTATTTTTGCAAAGTTCTTAAAGATTTGTCCAACTAATGAGCACAGCCAAACTCTCTCTGTTTGCAGACTACTGTTAGGAGTTCAGGTAGCATTTAGCTGAGCCCCTTAGAAGCAAAACGAAGTCAAAAAAGCTGTTTTTAGCCTCCAGCTAATATTCTCCAGCATTCCTCAGTGTTAATATCCACATAAAGAAGGCACGAGAAATACATATATAGGGAGCATTCTGCTCACCTCCAACTTCTACATTTAAAAGATGGGTTTCAGTTTTGCCTCCATGCTGAGATGGTGGAAGCAGCTCTGTTGATTAGCCACATCAGACGGAGTAATCCTCCTCTCAGCCTGCAGCTCTTGTTTTAAAACTAGTCTGTTGCCACATGTGGCTTAAGCTTTTTTATATTTCTTTTCCTCCTTAAGAGGATTTTTTTTTTTTTAAGTCTTGGCGTTAGTTTTTGACTTTGTGCTAAGAATTTTTTTTTCTTGCTCGCCGATAAACCAAACTGTGGTCTGTAAAATGTTTTTGTTAATGTTTAATTTGTAAATTGTATACTTTTTTCATAATGAACAAATGTGCTTCTCCATTCATATCCCCTTTTGTTTTTTTGTTTCAAACATGTAAATTGTATATTTTTACGGTACATGGAAGAGAAAAACTTCCTTCAGCTTGCAGGAAGTTGAAGTACTTGACCGAACTCTCGGGTTTTGTTTTTCCTGATCTGAAGGATCGGATTGAAACGGTTCATCGGGTCAGATGAACCTCGGTGTCGTCGTGATGGAAATGTGACTTGCTGCTTTAACTCTTGTTCCTTTTTTTTTTTTTCACCCAACTTTAGGGCTTTCATCATAAATGCTGTCACTGTTCAACCCCAAAATGTCTGAATCAACATGCATATCAACCTTTGTTTATTTTTTATTTTCTTAACTGGAAACTTGTTTGAACTTGATTGTTTACCCTGTGTACTGAAAACAAGCAGGCCTTTCCATGCAATAGTAGAAAATTCACCTCTTTTTGATTTAAATATTGGCTCTTAAGATTACCTGTTAAATGGAATATGTAAAGAATGAAAAACATTTAGAGGAATCTGGTTTGTCCAATATGCGTTCCTTTGCGCAGTCGGCAGCGGGCGTTTTGGATAAGGACATGGCTCTCTGCCAAGGGCGTGGTTCTCTTAGAGGGTGGCAGAGGCTATCCAAGGCAGTCAAAAAACCTACCATATGTTAGTGCGCCCCCCCTGTGTAAGCACAGTATGAAGATATGGCAAAGCGTGGTCGTCAAACAGGACTAAATTTTATATCTGATGAACAGATTTCTATAATACATTTCTAGTCTTTTACGGATTCTGAAGTGCATTAGATCGTAATCTGGCCCAAAACCTAAAATCACATGGATGGGGTGATTATTTCTTACTTTTTTGTACTCCTGTATAAATCACATGGTATAAAGATCTAATATTGTTGAAGCTGAGTGGTGCCGTTTAGGGTCGTATGACTGTCTAAGCACAGGACAGAATAAGCTACTGGAGCACGCTGCTTAGGATCCAGCCGGTAATATTTGAGTCACTTTGAAAATAGTTCAACCTTGCCAGCTGTTTCTCTCTTTTTGATTCAGTCTGTGTCATCCTGGCTGATTGCAGAGGTTGGATTCATTTATCACTTTCATGGTCACTTGCTTTTCTTAAATTGACCTGCTTTGCAAGTTTAAAACATTCTTTCTGCACTTCCTTCTTCATTTCTCGTCTTTTATTGCTCAAAGTGGCCGCTGATAAGCGGTAACTACAACTCCGTAGCTCGAGTGTTTTGTACGGAAGGAGCAAAGTTACAAAAAGCTCCCTGCTTTTCTTTGTTGCTGGATTCGATGCTGTTTTCAGTCACACTTCAAAAACATCAACTGTCTTCAAGTCTATTTACTCTGCACACAGGGATGTTTAATTCCTCACTTTTTGGCTGTTTTCAGCCTTTTTGAATCATTGCTGATTTAAATTACAGTCAGACCTGGTTTCCAGTTTGTTTTCCCACTTTCCTCAGTCTGAATACTTTTTTTTTTTTTTTTTCCCCAGAGTGATTATTTCTTGAAGACACAAATCAAATGAATTTCAGATATTGGCAAGAGAATTTTAATACTTCAAATACTGATACTTTTTTAGAGTTTCAGACTTGAAGCTACTGTCGAGAGTTTGCAGGTTAACACTCATTGTGTAAATATTATGTTATTTCCTATTTTGCAGATTTACTACTTGTAAATAAACACGCATCAAGGAGAGATTAAACATTTTTTGCTATATAAGTTGTGACTCGGAGTCTTTATTTTGAGACACACATACGCAATCATACTTCATAACTATAACACTGAAATATTCGTCTGCAGAGTCAGAGCCAATGGAAGGCGTGAGCATACTGAGCCGCTGCTCAGGGCCCGATGGCAACTAGTGGGCTGCCGGGGCTCCCAAGAACAACTCTTTTATTTTTTGCATGTATAGTGTTATTGATATATACATGTATAGTTACAAAACACACAACTAAAATATATAATTGTGCTATTTTTAACATCAGTATGTGTTAAGTCGTGTATAGTGCTACGAAAACATGAATAAAAAACATTGACACCTAGATGTGGAAGGACCATTTCTTCAGGACAAACTTCTCTTTGGGGAACTGTGTGGTTATGAAAGTCAACTGGCTTCAGATGTTGAAATCCTTTTAATCATCGTAAAGCACAGGTGGCCTTTATTTATTTGCCTCTTAAAATGAGACCAGAGTTGAGTAGCTCTGAGGATGACCCACACTCTCCCTGTGACTGTTGAATCTGCAGGCCAGAGCTTTTCCAAACTCAAAGAACTACCAGCTGGATCTTCCATGGTAGAAAAAATTATAAAGTTGACTGGCGGTGACTAGTATTGTTTTATTAAATCAGATGTTTTTCATTTCTGTCATCAGAATCGACATTACTAACCAAAAAAAGCTAGGAGTCCATTTTAAGGAGGGAGTGGATTGACAGTGTCACAGAAAAAAAGTTAAATATGTGGTTAAAGTTTGTTTTCAAATACACCTATTGCAGTTACTTTGACATATTTTTAAGAGTTGATTAATCTACTACCTGGTTCTTATTATTCTATAGGTTATTTAATCTATTTTGTGTTTTTTGCACAATTAATTTCATTGTCTTGGGCAATGAAAGAAAAGTACACAGTAAAAAAAAAAAAGTGTTACTTTAACAACTACAGAGGTTAATATAACTCTGTTTCAGATACCATTTGGTCCCACTACAAATTAGTGTAAAATGTATTCTATAGCTGGTGTCAGATTTAATTTTACTAATATAAGTGTCAAAATCAAGAAGACTGGCGGGTAAACGACACCATATACAGTAAAGGTTACTCTTCCTGGCTGTAAATTTTGATTATTACCTCCAACACTTGAGCAGATTTACACTCAGTATAGTTTTAAATGCTCCATTTAGAGTTAAATAGGTTTACTCTGAATCTTTAATACCAAATTTTTTACTGTGTTGCCTGTAGATGGGCTGCTGCAGAAGATCCTTCCTGCCTACAGCTATCAACACCTGTCAAAAAAAAATGATTTATGAGTTATTGCAACATTTCCCTTTGGGATTAATAAAGTATTTTGAATTGAATTAAATTTTTTAAAGCTTTTAATTTTAGTTTTTTTTTTTTCTCACATTACACGCTACTTCTGCACATTGCTGTTGCAGTAGGAGCCAAGAAGTATAACTACATGCTGGTTTTAACGTGAAAAAAACTGCACAATTGTTTTATTTTCCTTTTGTAAGACTAGATGATGAATGTTACTGATTGAAAATGTCATTGAATTGATTTGATAGGATCTCCTTTACTTATCTTTTCAGCACAATAATACGCATCTGCTGGAGTTTGTTAAATTCTAGTTGGTCGTTTTTACCGGGACCTTTTGCTTTGGTAGGATGAAGCTACCAGGTTTTAATGATTATGTGGAAACTATTCCGTCATGTGAGGCAGAAGAACGGTGTTAAAAAGAGTTTCTCGTCTGCAAGCAAAAGTGCATGGAGCTACCAAAAATTAAACTCATGTAGGAGCAGCACTACTTTATTGTAATTGCTAAAAAAAAAAAAACTCAAGTATGGATTAACTGATCTATGTGCTACACATCATAGCATC